TATATATATATATATACACTATATTGCCAAAAGTATTTGCTCACCTGCCTTGACTCACATATGAGCTTAAGTGACATCCCGTTCCTAATCCATAGGGTTCAATATGACGTCGGTCCACCCTTTGCAGCTAGAACAGCTTCAACTCTTCTGGGAAGGCTGTCCACAAGGTTTAGGAGTGTGTTTATGGGAATTTTTGACCATTCTTCCAGAAGCGCATTTGTGAGGTCGCACACTGATGTTGGACGAGAAGGCCTGGCTCTCAGTCTCCGCTCTAATTCATCCCAAAGGTGTTCTATCGGGTTGAGGTCAGGACTCTGTGCAGGCCAGTCAAGTTCATCCACACCAGACTCTGTCATCCATGTCTTTATGGACCTTGCTTTGTGCACTGGTGCACAGTCATGTTGGAAGAGGAAGGGGCCAGCTCCAAACTGTTCCCACAAAGTTGGGAGCATGGAATTGTCCAAAATGTCTTGGTATGCTGAAGCATTCAGAGTTCCTTTCACTGGAACTAAGGGGCCAAGCCCAGCTCCTGAAAAACAACCCCACACCATAATCCCCCCTCCACCAAACTTTACACTTGGCACAATGCAGTCAGACAAGTACCGTTCTCCTGGCAACCGCCAAACCCAGACCCGTCCATCAGATTGCCAGATGGAGAAGCGCGATTCGTCACTCCAGAGAACGCGTCTCCACTGCTCTAGAGTCCAGTGGCGGCGTGCTTTACACCACCGCATCCGACGCTTTGCATTGCACTTGGTGATGTATGGCTTGGATGCAGCTGCTCGACCATGGAAACCCATTCCATGAAGCTCTCTGCGCACTGTTCTTGAGCTACATGAAGTTTGGAGGTCTGTAGTGATTGACTCTGCAGAAAGTTGGCGACCTCTTCGCACTATGCGCGTCAGCATCCGCTGACCCCGCTCCGTCAGTTTACGTGGCCTACCACTTCGTGGCTGAGTTGCTGTCATTCCCAAACACTTCCATTTTCTTATAATACAGCTGACAGTTGACTGTGGAATATTTAGGAGCGAGGAAATTTCACGACTGGATTTGTTGCACAGGTGGCATCCTATCACAGTTCCACGCTGGAATTCACTGAGCTCCTGAGAGCGACCCATTCTTTCACAAATGTTTGTAAAAACAGTCTGCATGCCTAGGTGCTTGAATTTATACACCTGTGGCCATGGAAGTGATTGGAACACCTGATTCCAATAATTTGGATGGGTGAGCAAATACTTTTGGCAATATAGTGTATATATATATATATATATATATATATATATATATATATATATATATATATATATATATATATATATCTGATGTTTCTCCAGGTATCTAGTGGAGCTGCTTCTCCTTTGTGGGCTTTACTGCCCCCAGTGCTCCAATAACACCTGTTGCATGCACCTTTCAGACTCTCTCTAGTTCTTCCCTGAGCTCTTGGCATTTTTCCAATTTCTCATGTTCTTTTTTCCTGATGTTTCCATCATTTGGAGTGGCAACGCTGATCCCACAGGATCTAAGCTCTAACATTCTCCACCACCTTGGGAGATAGCACCCATTTTGACATGTAGTTTGTATTCTGCACAGAAGTTTCTGTTCAGTATAACAGCCTCTTGGTTATGATGGTGCATGCATTCAACAACTGCCAATATGTGACACCCTGCTGTGAGATGATGGACTGTTTAACCGCAGCTTAATATGATTTAGTAGATAACAAAAACAGTTGTATTATTTCATTCACTGATTCCTACATTTTCACTTATTTAGACAAACTCGTTGCCTATTCCCATTTAATCATTCTTCTCTTTCTCTTCATCTCCTCCTTCTCACATGAACAAACTTATTAAATTTAGAAGCCAATTAATATATCCTCTTCAGAAAGAAGGCTGCTTGGTGTCATCAAAAGGCTGATAACACATTAAACCACTAAATGTAGGCATTATAACTGAAAATAAATAAAACACAGAGTGGCATTATCTTATATGGACTACATTAGTAAAAACAAAACTTTTGCTACGCAGATTAGCTCTAAAACCACCACTTTGTGCGAACTTGGAGGAGAAAAGGTGGCGCTCTGCGCTACATCAGCATTTATCAGCTTATTGGAGAAGGTGCCCCTGCTGTTTACTGGTAGGTTGGTTATTATATGATATATATATAGAAGAGCTATATGTGTATATATATTTTATCTCTTTTTATTCTTATTTTTTATCTTTATTATATTGTATAGTTGGATGTGTGTATATATCATGTAAAACTGTAACTAGAGCGTGTAACAAAAGTAATTTCCCTCTGGGATTATTAAAGTATTTCTGATTCTGATTCTGATTAATGCCAAGAGGAGCAAATGTAGCATATTTTACTGCATGTCTCTAGAGCATAAACAGGGTCATTCATTGCTATTTGTTTCTATGAGGTCAGGGATTTTATCTCTGGTTTCTAATGGCAAAGTCTTTAATTGATTGCATCCAGATAAGCTCTACAGAGCAAAGGCATGTTTTTCTGATCAAAGGGATTCAGTCAGCTTCAGCACCAGTGCTGGGTATTTTGGGTATATCGATTTTGATTCATACAGTTCTAAATCAATTTCGATTCGATCTGTTTTTACAACAATGAAAATGGTTCAACTGTATTTCAAAATACTCATTTTGTTTTTTTCCTGTCAGATTAAACACAGAGTGCAAACTTGTAAATCATGCAGTTTAAGCCTTAGAAGTGAACAAAACTGTCTCATAAGTGCAAACTTGTTTGCGAAAAGGGAAAAAGTGAAGCCTCACTCGAGCAAGGAGACGTGACACAGCTGACATGCATGAGCTGCATTATCTCCACTGCACAAACCATATTTGCAGTGTTTTCTGTAGCAACTACAGGGTGTTTTATGGTCAGCCCCCATTAGTTAATGTCTTCAGTCAACCTATTGGCTATATTTGCAGCTGTCTGGCTTGACGTAATCTTGAGTGCATCTTTCCTGCTTACTTGAATGTGAACGTCACGTGCGTCACTATAAAATTAATTAATCTCATTCCCTAGACATCGATTTTGCAAAAATATAAAGGAACAGATTCAAAATCGATTAAATTGATTTTTTTACCCAGCCTTATTCAGCACCGCCTGCTAGCTGAGCTGTTAGCATAGAGGAGTAATAGGTGGAGCCCAGAGGGACCAAGAGGCTTGGATCAAGAAAAGGAGAGTGCTTCCATGGAAGTTTAGAGGAAACAACTGAGAAGCAGCCAAGAGGATTTTTTTTTCTATGTGGAGGAGATCAGCAGCTCTAGTGGAAGAGCTTCCAAAACAGTCCTCATATTTGGCCTTTCTGTAAGACCTGGAGGAAGATGTTGCTCTGGTCAGATGAGAACAAAAATGAAGTTTTCCGTCAACAAGCTAGACTCCATGTGATGGAAAACCAGCTGGATTGAAACATTCTGTGGAAAGAGCAGGTCAGGGACGATAGATGGCATGGAAAGGTGTTAGTCTGCAAAAATCTCAAAGCTGGGTCTGAACTGGAAAGGCTTTATTGACATCACAGGAGCCATTATGTTAACACAAATCATTTTCATTAGATGATTGTATAACAGTGCATTATTGGAGAAGGCCTGGTGCAAGCCTGGTTGCTTCATTCTGATGAGCAGCATTAGTGGGAACAGACTGGAATCCAGTGTGGAACAGCACCTTAGGTTTTTCAGTCACTGAATTTAATTACTTCCCTTTTTAGCTGATTCACGGTTTTAAATGCAGCTACATAGCTTTCCACCAAACCCTGAGCATCTCTGTGTTCACAGCAGGTGTGCAACATATAAAAATATCCTGCTCTGACTGCCCACACCTCAGGAGGACAGCCGCAGTGTCTCCTGTAGGCTGTACAGAGATGATAGTGAGAAATGTGGGGCTTATTAACATCTATTTACATGCCATCCTCCTTCATCTGCTTTCAGTTCCATATTGATTTGAGGTATATAAAAGAAATATACATTGATCCTTTTTGTGTTTGCACAAGTTTCCACATATGGAAGTTTTTGTTTACTCCATGATTCATCAGAAGATACTTGAAAGCCCTTAAAGCCCATGCTGATGTTACTGCGATTTAAAGCCTTAGAAATAGCTAAATAACTGATCAAGAGGCTAGTTTACCTTATTGGGTCATGATTCTATCATATGTAGATTGATCAAAGTGCATGAAGGAAGAAATTCATTAGAAAATATAAATTATCGGCTGGATAAGCTGATCAGGAAGGCCAGCTCTGTGATTGGATGCCCTCTCGACTCAGGAGCTGGGAAACAAAATGACTGTAACTAAATATTCATCTCTGTTGGATAATGTCTCGCATCCCATGCATGAAGCTGCTGAAGAATTGGAGAGCTCCCTCAGGGACACACTGCTGCACCCTAAATGCACCAGGGAGCTCTATCACAGATCCTTCCTCCCATCAGCTGGAAACTTTATAACCACCACTGCTCCCAACAACCACAATAAATTATTACATCCATGCAGATTTTTGCTAATTTTGCTGCAGTTATTTTCAAATATCCATCACTGTAGAAATGTCCATATATGTATATTGGTTATTTATTCTCCAGGTGCACAGTATTTATATAGTTAAACCCCTTTACAGTACAGTATATCATTTTTTTTACCTCTTCACTATTATTTTATTCTTATACACTTTTCTAAGGTCCACATTTGCGTGACCATTTTTCTATAATCTTTTTGCTGCTGTAAAGACCAACACTTCCCCATTGTGGGACGATAATGGGATTTTCTATTCTATTATATTATATGCTTCTATCATAAATAGATTGATGAAAGTGCATGAAAAAAGAAATTCATCAGAAAAAATGCAAAAACAAAGTGTGTTAAAAATGCATCCTGATCTTAAAATTGAACAGAAGTTACAGCTAGAGATAAACCCTACAAACATAGACAGCCTACAAACAGCGGAAAAAGGACATACAGCCCTATTAACTACATTTCCCATGATGCACTTGTGTTTTTACGCATGCGCCAAAGAGTTTATTTAGTATACACACAACCGGAAGTTACACTGTGGGATTGTCGACCAAGATTTGGTAAAGTTTCTATATTTCCAGGCGCTGCTGTCACGAATAACCGCGTTACCGTTTCAAAAAAAAGGTTAGCGTCCGTTTTTAAATATATTCAGCTAACCAGTAAGTTTTATTCAGATAAATGAACGTTTTTTTTTGTCGTAGCGGACCTGTTTGCTAGCTAAAGTAACGTTAGCAGATGGGCCCCTCTACATTTAGAGCAAAGCTTCACTTTATGTCTGCTTGAAGATAAAAAAAAAAAAAAAAGCGCTCCAAGTAATGGCCGCTGAGTACTAAGTAAAGTATCATGACAACAGTATGATAAAATAGGAATGTTAGGTTTGCTTGAATAAAGCAGAAATGTGGGTAAAATCGTTTTAGGGGGAGATTTAATACGTAAATGTGACGCTGTAAAGTAGCTTTCTGCAGTCTAGCCATCATTATATATGTATACACACTGGTTTTATATAACCTATTGTATTAAGGAAAATATTCACCTAATATATTACAGTTAGGTCAGTCCTTTAAAACACATTTCCTCTTAAGAGTCATTTTAACTGCTTCCTAAAACGCTTTACTGCAGCTCATGTTCCTTTTTATACTCGTTGCTATAGTAACGCATAAAGGCACAGCCCTGTGTTTCAAACTGTGCTGTTCTTTGCTCAGCATTAGATACATGAATGATTTTATCTTTGATGGGGGAAGAGTCTGAATGGTTGTTTTGAAGGACAGGCGCCCCATCTGGTGGGTGGAGGCGACAGCTGCAACCATCATCTAGTTGCAATGGATGATTGTCATATTTTATTTAAAATAATCTAAAACGCTCTGGGATTTAATGCTTTACTACACATTATCTATAAAAGCTGAGTAAAGCTCCTATTCAGAATTCTATGATAAAGTGTATTCATTGCAGTGTTTGATTTAAAAAAAGGACTTTAAAAAATGTTTTTTAGAGATAAACTTCAACCACAATTAAACCACACAGCTTAACCCTTTTTTGATCACTTGCATTCCCCTTCAAAATGGAAACCTCCATCCCTCAGTGAGGTCTAGAAGCACAAGATCTATATCCAGCCATTCAGCAAAGATACTGCTACATGGCTGTACATCTTATTTTCGCATTTGACCAAATAAATGAATGATGTATTACCTACTATAAATTAAGTTAAAATAAAAAGTTAAGTCAAGAAAGAAAGGTAAAAAGCTAATTGAAAATTTATAAAGGGAATAAGCCTAATTAAGAATTATATTTAGGTTTATAAACTAAAAAATGTAAGTGCCAGTATTAGCATTAATGCCTCTAAGGTTACGTTGGACCCCCAGAAAAAGTGTTTCTTTCACTCTCAGAGTGTTTTTCATTAATTTCTTATAGAAGCACTTTCATTTTTCTTAATAGATTCGGGGGAAGGTTGGCGTTTCTTGTAATTACATTGACATCCACATATTTTTACAAAGGTAATAAGGTCTTGTCCTGGATTTCAATAACACTATTGGTTTGAAGTTTTGATTTGGAAAGTATATACTGTGTGCCCTATAAAGGGTTAAAACCCATAAAATTTATGGCATGAACCGATTTCTAAACATAAGAGATGAGTTTTAGAAAAGTTTTAGTTTAAATCAAAGTTTGACACACAACCATTCTATATTTATTAATGGTTGCAGAAAATGATAGATGACAAAAAAAATCTCTGCTTGTTCCACAGAAGAAGTTCATGCTATCAGTCTGTCACCTTAAGCTAACACATGGTCTGGTTATAAAGCAGGAGAACGACCCAGAGTTCACCTGAAGATCCACCTCTGATCGAGTTATAGAAATAAAATGATATCTTGAAGTAGACAAAGTCTGGGCTTTAATATGATCCAGATGATGCACTGGATTCAATCTGAGGCTTGGATGAGCTAGGAAACTGAATTGAGATCTGTATTTTATTCTAATCCTGATGTCATTTGTTTAATTAATCCCCAGACGTTGCGTGAACTAAATTAAATCTGTTGAATATTCAAAATGTTTTACAATAAAACTTCTTTTAATCCCCTCCTCTGATTTCTTCAGTTACTTTAAAGGTGCTCTTTCAACCCAAATAACAAGAAATCAGTTTTTGTCGTCGTTTGGAAAAATGCGCATCCCTGCGGATTTTAGCCTATTTTTATTTTATTTATTTATTTTGCTACTTTAGGTGCAATGGAGGAGTGATGTCTCAGACAGCGAAGGGATAAAGACAGAGAAGACATGACTGAGTGCTTCCTGCCCCCCAGCAGCAGCCCTGCAGAGCAGCGCAGGGCCGATCACCCTGGAGGGGTGGCCCGTACCCCTAGCTCCGAGGAGATCAGCCCCACCAAGTTCCCCGGGCTGTACCGCACCGGCGAACCATCGCCGCCTCATGATGGACACCACCATGAGCCGCCTGACCCCTACGTCTCAGATGATGATAAGGAGCACGGAAAGAAGAAGAATAAGTTCAAGAAGAAGGAGAAGAGGAGTAAGATGTAGCTTTACTTTAAATGTTGAACGATAATTGAAATATTTAGGTGCAGATTTATGATTTGTTGAGTTATGAGATGATTTATGACCTTTCATCCAACCAATCATTATTGTATGACCTCCTAATCCATGTTTTAAGTGGTTTGGGAACATTTAGAGTGATAAATTCACCTCATAAGTATGATCTGAAAATAAATATACATTTCTAAGAATTAGGGTGTTTGCCCTTCAGTTGAGCAGGTTAATAGGATGATCTGCCAATGCAAGGAGTATTCTTTGCCATTAAATAGGATTATTAGATACTATGCACTTGAATTTAGATAATAGAGTTGCTTTTTATAATTTTAAATGTAAAGAATTTTCTTCTATTGGAAAATTACTTATCTGCTCCAATCAAGGGAAAATCAACTTATTTTAAGAAAATTAGGCTTACCAGGATTATGTTTGCAGTGCATGTAGATAAAGCAGAGGAAAACTCAGGCTCGATCTTTAAAGCAAAGACCAGAGAAGTCCAATCCTTTCTGGGAGGACCAGTGGATTTTTCTCCATGTGAAGAGACATACTATGTTTTAGATTATTCTGCATTAAACATACTTTTATCCTATCTTATTATTTAATAACTGATGGCACCTTATCAAAATGTGCTTTTGTAATTACTTTTTTCGGTCACTGTTTTATCTATTGACAAGATGCAGCAAAACCCCAGAAAAAAACAACAACTTTTAAATACCTTCAGAGAGCCTGAAGATCTGATAATCAGATGAAGAAAATACATTAGAAGAAATCAGGGCTGGTTCAGCAAAAATGCACATAATGTATATCATCAATTTGGGAGAATACTACATGTAGTAAAAGAGAAAAGAAATAAATCAACTTTCCCTTCCTGTTCCCACCCATAGCGTGGGCTGTGTTTTCCGCCCTTGTCCACTTTTGATCCTCATTTTTCCACATCTGGATTTAGCTCCCACCTTAGTGAACAGGAAGAGGAAGGAGGGGGTAGATGGTTCCCAGTGAAAGGTGTATCTCTGACCACTGTCTGGTTCACACTGCTGAGAAGAGTCCGCTGATTGTTTTAGCTCTTAGGAAATATATTTAAACTCTGTTTTAGAGAGGAGAGGAGAGTAAGGTGCTTTGGGAGCTGTGCTAAATCAGTGGCTGACCTCTTTTTCTTGTCCCCATTCTTTACTGTCTTCTCTCTCTCTCGTAACCCTTCTTCTGTTTCTATTTTCCCTCCTTCATAGTTCTGCTGTAGTAAAGAGGAAGGAACACTGCAGTTTTTTTTCTCCTCTCAGATTTAACCATTTGTGCCTTTTCTTCCAGCTGAGGGATACGCCGCCTTCCAGGAGGACAGCTCAGCTGATGAAGCTGAGAGCCCGTCCAAGATGAAGCGCTCGAAGGGAATCCACGTGTTTAAGAAGCCTAGCTTCTCCAAGAAGAAGGAAAAGGACTTTAAGGTGAAAGAGAAGGGCCCCAAAGAGGAGAAGGCCAAGGATAAAAAGTCCAAGGACCTGACTGCTGCTGATGTAGTCAAACAGTGGAAGGAGAAGAAGAAGAAGAAGAAGCCTGCCTCAGATGCAGAGCAGGTCCCAGTGGAGGTTCCCACTATAAGGCCCATCTTTGGAGCTCCGCTGGCTGAAGCTGTGAAGAGGACCTCACTGTATGACGGCATCCAGCTTCCCGCCATCTTCCGGGAATGCGTGGACTACATTGAGAATTATGGGATGAAGTGTGAGGGCATCTACAGGGTCTCAGGTATTCAGCTGGTTCTTCATGCAGCACTGGTTCATAACAATTCATCTCATAATATAGAGCTCAGATGGATTCAATTTATATCCAGAAATGTTTAATAGAATAGTACGCTGCAGCAGCAAGCATGTGGTGACAGTAGAAAGAACAAACATATCAAACATGTCATATTAACAGTGGTGGTTGGTGGAGTTTTCCCCGGGGGGGGGGGGCATAGCTTCAAAATAGACGTATACCAAAAGAAAATCAAATGTATGCTAAGTTAAAACACCTGTATATTTACATGGATGCCAACAACAAAAACATAACATTAACTGAAATGTGCTACCTGCCTTTATCCATGCTGGGTCAGATTCTGATGTTTGAAAAAGGAGGCTTTGAAAGCAGAATTAAGTGTTAACCTCGCTGCATGCAGTTAGCCAAGCCTTGTTGTTAAAATAAATGATATAAACCTGTCATTCAGCCGCACTTTATAACAGACGACTGTGACTGAAGGTGGTGTGCAAATAAAGTTGCTTTAAGCTCTGGGCGCAGGAGAGCTGCGTCTCGGTATGCTCCTATCTTTTGCATTAAAGGGGAGCTACTTTAAGAGTAAATTCAAACTTTTAATAAAGGATTAAAAACATTTCTTTTTAGCAGGATGTATGACTTTTGACATTTTACAAATATGCTATTTATTTTATTCATAACTTTTTTCAAGCGCTTTTGAGTTTTAAATTTTGATTTTACCCTTCTATGAAGATTTGACCTGTAGCACTTGTGTAAAGTGCATTACAAATAAAATTTATTATTATTATTTTTATTAATGGCCAAACATCACCAATTTCATGAAAAACAAAACAGCTTTACATGTCATTAAATATTAAATATTTATCTTTCACATCTAAAAACGTATCAATATATTTTGAAGTATAAAAAAAAAAAAAACTAAGTATTTTATTTGCTTTTTAATGTCTTAATCAAGGTCATTTGGTGAGAGGGGCGGCGCCTTTGCGCCCTCTATTGGCCAGTCGCCACTGCATTTTACTTAATCTTTTTAGACAACAGCAAACATAAATCCCCCCTAATCTCCCCTTACCAGGTATGAAGTCCAAGGTGGATGAGCTGAAAGCCTCTTACGACAGGGAGGAATGTCCCTGTCTGGAGGAGTACGACCCCCACACCGTTGCCAGCCTGCTGAAGCAGTACCTCCGCGAGCTGCCGGAGAACCTCCTTGGTCGAGACTTGGCTCAGCGCTTCGAGGATGCCTGCGGTCGGCCGGCAGAGGCAGAGAAGGTCTCAGAGTTTCACAAGCTGCTGGCCGAGGTGCCTCCACAGAGCCGGCTGCTCCTCTCCTGGCTCGTCACGCACATGGACCACGTCATCACCAGGGAGGCAGACACCAAAATGAACATCCAGAATATTTCCATCGTCCTCAACCCGACCATACAGGTCAGCAGCAGAACTCTATTTCAGCAGGACATGTAGTCTGGCTGAATATGGGCACATCCTTCCTTCCTTCCTTCCTTCCTTCCTTCCTTCCTTCCTTCCTTCCTTCCTTCCTTCCTTCCTTCCTTCCTTCCTTCCTTCCTTCCTTCCTTCCTTCCTTCCTTCCTTCCTTCCATCCATCCATCCATCCATCCATCCATCCATCCTTCCTTCCTTCCTTCCTTCCTTCCTTCCTTCCTTCCTTCCTTCCTTCCTTCCTTCCTTCCTTCCTTCCTTCCATCCATCCATCCATCCATCCATCCATCCATCCATCCATCCATCCTTCCTTCCTTCCTTCCTTCCTTCCTTCCTTCCTTCCTTCCTTCCTTCCTTCCTTCCTTCCTTCCTTCCTTCCATCCATCCATCCATCCATCCATCCATCCATCCATCCATCCACCCTTCCTTCCTTCCTTCCTTCCTTCCTTCCTTCCTTCCTTCCTTCCATCCATCCATCCATCCATCCATCCATCCATCCATCCATCCACCCTTCCTTCCTTCCTTCCTTCCTTCCTTCCTTCCTTCCTTCCTTCCTTCCTTCCTTCCTTCCTTCCTTCCTTCCATCCATCCATCCATCCATCCATCCATCCATCCTTCCTTCCTTCCTTCCTTCCTTCCTTCCTTCCTTCCTTCCTTCCTTCCTTCCTTCCTTCCTTCCTTCCTTCCTTCCTTCCTTCCTTCCATCCATCCATCCACCCTTCCATCCATCCATCCATCCATCCATCCATCCATCCATCCTCCCTATCAGAAATATGCTTAAGGTATAAGTGTATAGCAGAGATTTGTAGGATTCCAAACCTGAGAAATTCTGAAAATGTGACATCATGAAAAGTCAGTAGGAAAACTGAGCATTCCCATAGCAACCAGCCCTGCCAGTTTTTTGTGGTTCAAACACTGAGTTCATCTTTGACACCCTGGCCTAGTTAAGTGCAGCTAATTTATCCCCATAGGAGTCGTCTCTGCGGCTACTCCACTTATCGTGAGCCAGAAACACATCTGTTAGATAAACATGAGGGAATCCAGGATCAGTGTAATGAGGGCAAGTAAACACACAGGAATCTGTTGGAGAGAATCTGCTCCAAAAACCTTTCAGGGTGGAAACCGTTTTTTCCTGCTCTATGCCCCTTTCACTCTGCTGATGAGTTCTCCTTCCTTCTTAGATTGGAAACCGCGTCCTCTACATCTTCTTTACCCACGTGAAAGAGCTGTTTGGTGACGTCGTCCTGAAGCCGGTGGTGCGACCTCTCCGCTGGTCCAACATGGCAACAATGCCAGCTCTGCCCGAGACCCAGGAGAACATCAAGGAGGAAATTCGGCGGCAGGTTAGTTTCAGTTCAGCAGTGAGCGTTTTTGACTCCCCCTTTTTTTTCAGAAGCTTGAGTTCGGTGTTTTTTTTGTTTTTTTTTCCCCCCACTTTTTTTAACGTTTATGTGAAACTTAAAAAACAAACAAATCTATGATTATTAGAAGTTGTATTTTAATCAGCTGTTTTACCGTTTTTAAAGCTTAATTAGGGTCCTCTAAGAAACTGAGCAGTTCTCCTGCACATCATCATCTATAGCTTCACTTATATGTATCAGTAACTCTTTAAAATTGTGTTAATGTCAGCGGCTTTGCGTGTATTATTGTTTATTTTTTATAGAAAAGATGTCGATGACAGTCTTATTTATGAAGGACTTTAAAAACAGGTTGTAGCTACAGAAAATGTGGTGTAGAGTTTTAATAAAGCCATCAATTCATTAGTTATAGTTGAATAAAACACATACAGATAAAAATGCTAACAAAAAGGACAGGTAGTTTACAGTGTCAGACGTTCTTTATTTGTCTAGCAAACAAATACAACCACAGCTCTGAAAGACAGGAAGTGGTGGTTTGTATCTACATCGAAAATGACCCATTTATGAACAACTTGTATCATGAATAAAGTCCTTTTAAAGTAGTGAGGGAGAGGTCTAATATAGGTCTATAATAGTTCAAATATGGGTGCCACACTATAGAACTGGTCCTCGCTAGTATGGATGATGCTGTAGAGTTCAAATGATTTTGCTCCAACCACTGATACTTGAGAAGCTGATCCATTGGAGAATAAGGCTGTTTTTTCTGGCTGCAAATGCAGGTTTAAAGGATGCCTTTGATCTCTGAAAATCTGAAATCTGTTTTATTTCAAATTTGACTCTTCTTGCACACGTACAGAATGTTTTTTTTTCCATTGGACCAAATTAAATCTGATGGTTCATCAAATATATCCTCTCTCCCGTATACCTCTCCCCCTCTGCCAGTCACAGTTAGACGGGCCATTAAATTTACAATACAAGGAGCTTATAGTCTACTTTAGTTTTTGTGGAAACAGTAGATATTTCAGGGCAACCAATAACTTAATGTCATTAGTAATATAATAATACATGGTGCATAAACAACGAACCGAGAATCTACCTGGTATGTTAACATATTAAAAGATATTCAACTATAGCATAAATAACATGCTAACAAGTTTATCAAACCATCAGTGTCATTCCAAATTACTAAATGCAATGAAAGCTTCATCCTCTGTGTCACTTATAAAAAACTCTGTTAACTCCAAACTTTCTTTCTGCTGTTGGATTACCGTTTTCAGCTGCATATTTTTCTTCTTACAGCTTGTAATCTGCAGAATATGATTTTCTTTTTGGTGCCTTTTTTTTTTTTTTTAGCTCTTCTCAGTTGTTTTTTATAAGTTAACTCCTATGTTTTACCGTATTTTCACGACCATAAGGCGCACCTGACTAAAAGGCGCACTCTCAGTTATGTGTCCCATTTCTGTATTTAACACACACATAAGGCGCACCGGACTATAGGGCGCGTTTTTTATATACAGGTACAAGTCCTCTACTACCTTTAAATACCTCTACTGCGTATTTAACAATACAGCGGGGGCAAAACTGAGTATGACTGTGCTTTATTCATGTATTTATTACAAAGTATTAATCAAACCTGGCAGCTGGCCGTGAGACAGATGACACAGCGCTGTGATCACTCCTAAATTAACTTAAAATCCTGAAACCTGCTGACGGAATATGTTCGCTTTTATTGCCGGTATCCTGGTGCCTGCAGGCTGCAGCTAAAATTATTTAGATGAAAAACACCTGCCAGCAGCCGCGGTGAACCCCAGGCTGCCCAGCCTACAGGCTGCTGATGAAGAGATTTCTGCTGTCAGCGCACCGCTGGTATGTGGGGGTCTGAGCGCCTCCGACAGAAATAGATAATCTGGATGAACTGACTGCAATTATGAAGTTTTCAGGTGGACTTTCTCACTTAAAAACATATTAAAACTACTTTATTCCCACTGATCACAGCAAATATAGCTGCAAGATTTAGATTATTTAGATGAAAAACACCTGCCAGCAGCCGCGGTGAACGAAAGGATTTCTCCTGTCGGCGCACCGCTGGTATGTGGGGGTCTGAGCGCCTCCGACAGAAATAGATAATCTGGATGAATTGACTGCAATTATTAAGTTTTCAGGTGGCCTTTCTCACTTAAAAACATATTTATACTTATTTATTCCCACTGATCACAGCAAATATAGCTGCAAGATTTAGATTATTTAGATGAAAAACACCTGCCAGCAGCCGCGGTGAACGAAAGGATTTCTCCTGTCAGCGCACCGCTGGTATGTGGGGGTCTGAGCGCCTCCGACAGAAATAGATAATCTGGATGAATTGACTGCAATTATTAAGTTTTCAGGTGGCCTTTCTCACTTAAAAACATATTTATACTTATTTATTCCCACTGATCACAGCAAATATAGCTGCAAGATTTAGATTATTTAGATGAAAAAACACCTGCCAGCCACCGCGGTGAAGCGGAGGAGACGCGCTCAGAGGCTGCCATTGAATTAAGCTTTCAGGGAGAAAAATAGAGCGGGAGCAAACCTGAGTATGATTGTGCTTTATTCATGTATTTATTACAAAGTATTAATCAAACCCATCAAAGTCATCATCCTCTGTTATCCTCAGCATTCCTCTGAATAAAACAGCTGCGCTAAATCAGACATGCCAGTTTCCCCTTCTTCGCTGTCAGAGTCACTTTCCGTGCAGCGCAGCTCCTCAGAAATAATGCCGGCTTTTGCGAAAGCTTGAACAACAGAGCCAGCAGACACAGTCCATCTACAATCCATCCGCAAACGGTGGCGTAACTTGCCCGGCGCTGCCTTCCATTTATCATGAAACTGTGGTCTCAGTCTGTCATCCATCGCTCCCACGCCGCTCGCAGCCTTACTGTGAACGGCCGCTTCAAACCGATGTCGAGCGGTGGAAGTTCCTTTGTCAGACCCCCGGGATAACGGCGAGCACAGCGTTCACCCAGCCTTTTCATTTGCGTTAATATCATATGTCATCAGAGCGCTGTCTGTCTCGCTGGCAGCTCCCAGATCAGCTTCTCTGATTGGTTGATGCGGCGCGTCCAGCAGCAAAACTTCAATTTTTCAATCTGAGCAGCAGCAGCGCGTTGGCGGTGCATCAGATGCTTAAACGCTCCCGACGTGCTGCACCAAAACGCGCTGGGGACCTTTTGCTGCGCCTATACGCGCGTCAACCATTGACTTTGCATGTAAACTCGCTGCTTCTGCTGCACCTGCTGGGTCCGGTTCACACCGATGTCGAGCGGTTGAACAGCGAGCACAGCGTTAATTTGTTTCCCCATGTTTTTCACATCAGCTGTGAGATGGGCACGCATGGAGTCACAGATTAATGGTGATGAGTGGAAAAAAAACACCTGGTCTCCTTACATTCAGCCACTCTTTCATCATCTCCTCAATGAGGTGGTCTCAAAAGTCGCAGTTACAACACACATAGGGCGCACCGCACCATAGGGCGCACCGCACCATAGGGCGCACCGCACATTTTGAGGGAAAAAAAAGACGTTTAAGTGCGCCTTATAGTCGTGAAAATACGGTAGTTATCAACATAGGCCTAGAGCGCCCTCTTGGGGTTTAGTGTGAGATTAACATGTGAAATTACATAATGATTTTGTTAATAATTTCACACAGTTGCCCCAGAGTATAAGTCGCACCCGTGGCCAATCTATAAAAAAATAAAAATGCGACTTTTAGTCTGGAAAATAAGGTAAATGTCTGACTGCTCCATATCTTTGGAGCTCATTAATCTTTGTTATGCATTGACAAGGACATGTCTGTGTTCAGGAGTTCCTGTTGAACTGCCTGCACAGAGACCTGCAGGCAGGTGTGAAGGACCTGTCCAAGGAGGAGCGACTCTGGGAGGTTCAGAGAATCCTGACTGCTCTCAAACGAAAGCTGAGGGAGGCCAAACGGCAGGTAATGTCCCCGTACAACATAAAACAGCAGGAAACATCACAGACTTTTACCTGAGTTAGAACCCATTTTATAGAGATTCAGATTTAATTGTTTTAAACAGATCTATTAGGTAATTGAAATACGATGAGACTGCTAATTCTGTACCTGTATAAAGTCTGTTGGTAAGGGATTCACATACAGACTTATAAATATACTAAAGATGAATAATAACTTCTTTTACTCTAGACATCTGATGTACAGTATAAAAAAACTTAAATATAAGTTGACAGCTTTTGTGTCTTTTTTACTTTTATTCGGTTTTAGGAGTGTGAGACTAAGATAGCACAAGAAATAGCCAGTCTCTCCAAGGAAGATGTGTCCAAAGAGGAAATGACTGAGAATGAGGAGGAAGTCATCAACCTGCTCTTAGCACAGGTGAATTATTCAAGCATAACATAATTAAATCCTTATAAAACAGTAAATTCAGTGTTTTAATTCTGCACTACTTCATTTGGGTGATCAGGAGAATGAGATTCTGACAGAGCAGGAGGAGCTGATCGCTCTTGAACAGGTATTACGGAGACAGATCGCCACTGAAAAGGAAGAAATTGAGAGGCTGCGGGCAGAAATCGCCGACATCCAGAGGTAAGAGGAGGGTGGAGAGTCGCGTCAAAGCTGTGATTATAACGTAGTAACAATGTTGTCTTCCTCATCAGTCGGCAGCAGGGTCGCAGTGAGACTGAGGAGTATTCCTCTGACAGTGAAAGTGAGAGCGAGGATGAGGAAGAACTGCAGATGATACTGGAAGACCTGCAGAAACAAAATGAGGAACTAGAGGTGAGAAACATTCGGGATGGTTTAACCGTCTGATTTTACACACGTGCACAAAAATTGTTGCAAGGATTCAGTTAAGGAAAATTCCATAATAGATACAGAAATGACTTGGTTCTGCTCAATAAGGTTTAGGTCTTAATTCATAGAAGGCCACTTCAGAATAGTCCAATGTTTTCTTCTTAGCCATTCTTGGCTGTTTTTATCTGTTTTGGGTCATTATTTTGTTGAAGAACCATGACCTGTGACTGAGACCTGTAATTGCTCTATGAAGTCCTAACAATAGATTAACTCTGCCTCCTCCACAGCTTTCTGCTGCTTTCTGATGATCGTTCACTAATATTCTCCTTTTTTCTTAAATTTCAATCAGATACACTCTAATTAGTTGACTCCTGTAAATTGGATTTAATTAGACAAATTAGGAGAAAGGGAGACAACACTTTTCCGAGTTTATATTTATTTTCATGTTTTAGCTGTCATGACTTCCTGCCATTTCCCTCCAGAACAAAAACACTCATCTGAACCAGGCTATCCATGAGGAGCAGGAAGCCATCCTGGAGCTCAGAGTCCAGCTCCGCCTGCTGCAGAGCCACAAGCAGCAGCAGCAGCAGCAGGAACTAACCGTCCCTCCGTCAGCCGAGCAGGTTCCTGCCAGCCAGCCGAGCCCGGAGGCCCGCAGCGAGGAACAGACGAAACGTTCAGCCTCCACTGCGGCTGCCGCTGCAGACGCTCCCGCTCCAACCAACGGGAAGGCTCCCAAAGATCCTTCAAAACCTTCTCCAAACAAAGACAGGAGAGACACCAACATGTGAGATGGCTGCTATACTTGGCGTAGATGGTTACTTCACTTGTCATGAACATCTTCTGTATACTCTGTGGCATCCTGACTTTGTTTTCCATTCCCCAGAGAACCTAGAAACAGAATGACAGCTGTAGCAGACGACTAGCTACCTCTGAGGGGACTCCCAGGGACCATATTATTCAAATCTGCTGTGCCAAGCCTATTTAAAGGAGGTGGAGAGGGTGACAATGAAGGGATTCATGAAGGGAGGGGGTTAGAGTTTATTTTTCACCGACGGTTCAACCAATAAATTATAACCAAACATAACTTTGCTGTAGATCAGTTAGTTCATCCCTCTTCTCTGACATCACCGACCACTGTGCCATAACTCAAAACGACAAAGAGATGCAAATGCAGAAGAAAGCTCCGAGAGGATTTTTGATTGGTCTATATGTATATTTTAAATGATCATTCTATCTATAATATATATATAAACTGCTTAAGATGTGCCCTGATTTAATTTATAGCTTTTTAGTGACACATATGTGATGAATGAAAAGTTGAGGAAAAAAATAAAATCCCATCACAGCAAAATGTAGACGAGTGCACTCACCCGTTCCCTCGTTTTCACACAAGGAAACGTGGAGGTTTAATATTGATGTAACACACTGTGGAAATGTTATATGAGGAATGTGAGAGAAAACTGCCCAAGGCTTTTCTAAGTTATTTGATTGCAGTTTGTTTTATTCATTATACTATAAATTTGTGAAATTGTTCCATCATTTCATGAACGATCCTCCAAGCTGTCATTGTTTAAAAGCAATTTCAAAGATCTTTATTGCATATTATAACAACTTTGCAAAAAACATATATTTTGCGGTTGTATTTTTTTTATGTGTTGATTTTTGTATATCGTTGCTGATAATTCTAGCGTGGCTTTGAACTTTATTAATCGTGTGACTGAAACCGGCACCGAAGCTTTTCCTTAGGTTACTTTTACATGTTTGGAGCTTTTGTAGCAGGCTGTTGCAGTCAGACTAATGCTGTGAAGAATAAAGTGTTGATCTGAATCTCTGTGTTGCTCACGGCCTGAAAGTTTAGTTCTAAAGTCGTCCGCACTTTGCACTCTTCAAGGCGCATTATTTAAATGCTTTGTCCCATATTGATTTAAGGGTGTTGACTGACTTTTAAGATATTGGTTAAGTTTGCCAAAATTCAGCCAGAAAAGCAAAGTATGAAAGCTATTTTTTGTTAAGGCATCCTGTGGTGTAAAGTAAGTTAGTATCATGCTTTCACATAAATCACCAAAGAACTATAATATTAGACAAAGATGATTGGATTATTTCATTTTGTGAGGCACAGGAAAGGAACAAAATCCAGAGCTCTGTGTGACATTCTTTCTTAAGCTAGTCGGAGTTACTGATTCAACAGTGACTTGTTAATAATCTCATTACTCTAAGACTAAAACAACTCAAAAAACAGCCTCAAATGCTAAAAATATTCTGAGTATTACTGATTCATTTTCTGCAGCATTTGATAATGAAACAAACAATATCTATAGACTTACTTCCAACTTCGATTATTAAAAAGACGCTTCAGCAAACTTATAACTTGTTTATCAAGTTGCCACACTTATGCTAGGGGTGACTAAAGTTTAAAGGTACAGTGGAAGATGTTCTTTTTCTGGGTAGATCATCCAAATAAATGGTGCTCCTATTTGTCAATCATTCTGGTGACACTGACATGTTTACGTAAGTCCGTCGTACGTGCTCATCCCCATTTTCACTTACCGGCGGTGAGTCTGACAGTGAAAAAATTACAAATCTTTTGGAAAATAAGCTTGTATGAGCGATGCAAACAGCAACTTTTAAACAGAGCGTGCATGAGGAGAAGAGGGTTCTTGCACACGTTTTATAGGCGTTCCCGTCTGGGAGCAGGTGCAGGGTTGTGCATGTACTTTTTTCTTTGCTTTTTAAGTGGAGAGGGCGGGTCTCTTCAAAAAATTAATGAAAATCCTCCACTGTACCTTTAAGTTAACTACACTTTTACTGAAAGTAAGTTTAATCCTGTATAAATATTAATGCAGATGGTATCATTGTAATATTTGAGTAGAATTCATCTACTATTCTCATCTCTTTGTAACACCTTGAATTTTTATTAAAAATACAAAAATTTTGATTTTTGGTGACATTTCTTTTGATTTTTTTTTTCATCTTAGAAAATGGAAAATTAGACTTAATAAAAAAAAAAAAAACTTAATTTGCAGCAGCATAACCACATACTATATGAGTGCTCAAATGCCTTGATTAGTGATACACCAACCTGATTAAAATGTAATAAAATATGTGCGTTTTTTGGGTGCTTAGTGATCATTGACTCAAATGTGGCTCGATTCGTGTCAAAACCGTATTTATTTAAATTAATCTGTCAACTAAAGCCTAAATTTTTAGGGTATTTATTGATATGAAACACGACAACATTAAAAATATGCTTCAAAGTTTCCACTTCATTCAGATTTTAATCTGTTTTTTATGAGTATGCCGAAGGAGAGAGGTGCGCGCTCCGGCAACAGTGGATGCAATTCTCAACAAGCAGGCATTTCTCGACATAACACCTGTAGCATCCAATGAGGAGTCTATGTATTAATGTCTATGATTATACTTAACATATGAGAGGGGCCTTCTGCTCTTCAATTTAAAGCTTTATTATATATTGGGGTGCCCGGCTAAGGACAGTGATATTTTACTTTGCTGTGGCTTCCTTTCCTGCTTGGATGACATCGACACTATGGCTTCGTCTTAAACATTATTTATATTCATCAAACGTCTGATACCTGGTTAAACAAAAATCCCTTTCTTCAGAATATCATTTCAGAGTGGTACTCTGCACACACACGTCGAGGATACAAAAGCATCATCACAGTTAACACATATATCGGGCAATAATTGTTTTATACCAAGGAGAGCTAATGGCAGATACAGGATGTGGTTTAACAAAGGTGTTTAAAAATATCAGACTTTAATAAAGAAATCAACTTGATGTCATATAATCAATTATGTGAGAAATATGATATTCCATGAAAACACTGAAACATATTCTTCCATACGTAGGCAGATGCTGTCTGTATCTCCACATCCTAAAATTGAGGAACTGACTCACAAGGATGGAATAAAACATTTTTCATAACTCTACGAATTAATGTCAATACAGTAAAAATAATCTCACATATATGGAGGAATGGAGAAATTATATAAAGGAAGATATTCAGTAGGGTGTTAACATCAAATTCAATCTGCTACTATATAAATGGTTAATGTGCTCGTATCTTACACCTTTCAGTTTGGATCACAAATGCCCTAATGTACCAGACTTTTATGTGAAATGAAGAGAAACAAAAGGTACGCTAAGTCATTGTGGGAATGTTCAATGATTCACCAATTTTGAAAAAGTGTGTTGTTTATGTTTTGCAGTTAGAAGGGAAAGTTCTTTGCAAGTTAAATTATGTCTACTGGGAATATACCCTGATAACTTTTTTATGTCTCAGTGGCAGTCACTGCTTATTGACTTTGGACTCATAATAGCTAGAATGGTAATTCGATTATTGTGGAGAGATGTGGACATGCCTTCTATTGGAATGTGGACAAAGTAATTGATTAACTGTCTAGCTTTGAAGAGACTAAGATACGTTGTAAAAAAGAAGGAAAATGACTTTATTCATTTGTGGAGACCCTTTATAGACTATTTGGAAACTTGCAGCTTTTGATTGTGATTCATTTTTTTCTTACTGATATTCTTACCATTATTATTATCAATTGGATTATTATTGAAAATAGTGTTTATGCCACTAATTTTCAAATGTGAAGTGATATATGTTTATGCACTGACTACACTTAGAGGTAAATATTTCAAGCCCTTTTTTCTTATAATTTTGGCAGTCATCACATACAGATAATAAACATTAAACAGTCACTGATTCATATATATTTAATATAAGATATGATAGGTTCTAATGTATTGCCCAGGTTATCCTTCAGGTCATCTGTTTTGTTGGGTTTGGCATCTCTTCTCTTCCTCTAGACTCCATTGATTCCCATCAGGTTAAGGCAGGACAGTTTGCCGCCATCTGAAGCAGCTTTTGGTACCTTTGTCAGTGTGGGCTGGGAAATGAAATTAAAATCTATATACAGGTAATAAGCTGAATGAGGCATAAAGGGCTCTAAAAACGTCCTTGGAGATTGCTGCACTGACAGGGTGTCTGAAAAACACAGTGGACCAAAACCTCACTGGCTTTAAAAATGTCACAACTGGACTTCAAGCAAACAAATTCAGTGCCTTTCCACTCTTTATCCAGACCAGAGGGTTTTCCAAATGAAATGTGAACTGCAATCTAAAAAAAGGCCTTAAAGATCTTCTTCTTTTTTTTTTTTTAACATTCCTTGAATGGCTGTAATTATCACTGTGTCCCTTCCACTTAACTTTCTATAAATGCTTGTATACAAACCAGACTTATGGAGACCTCAGTAGAAATCAGGAAACTTTTGCATGTGTAGTTAATAAACTGATCTGGGTATTGTGCCATAATCACACTAAAGTTGATGTTATCTGTGAATGCTCATCATTAAAAATATAAGAAAGAAAGAAAGAATTTCATTAAAACATGGGTTGAATCAATGTTAGGTAAGTTTAACATTTAAAAATAATTAACAGAATATATTGAACTATTCATGCTATCACATACTTATGTAAGAGGATTAGGGCCACTGGGGAAAAAAAAAAGTTAATTGATTTTTAAATATTATTTCAGTTTAATATGGGAAAAAACTGAATTCTGACTTTAATCTCAGAATTCTGACTTTTTCCTCAGAATTTTGGATCTTAATGTAGATGGGCACCATGAAGGTAGAGGTGTGGGAGCACTCAGCTTTACTGACAAAGGTGTGATTTTTTTGGGAGGGCCAGTAACACATTGGTGGAAAATGACAGAATTAGGTGACTTTCTACATGCCCGAGGGATCCCCGGTGATGCTATTTCATTAATGGAAGAGCAGAAGGTGATTAAAACAAGAGAGCTAGTTTAGTCTCTAAAACAGACATGGAAAGACATGTTGTTGTTAGCTGAGAAAAAAGTCAGGATTCTTAGATTAAAGTCAGAATTCTGAGAAAAAGAAAATAAAAACATGTTAGAACTGTAAATCTACAGTAATTTTTACTATTTTTCAAGGATGCACTTTTAAAAAGATGAAATTGTCCAGTGAGCTGTTTCCAAACGAAATTTCTTTTTATTTTACACTTGTGTAAACAAAATGAAAAAGAAAATCTGTCTAAAGTCTAAAAAAAGTCAGAACTCTGAGATTAAAGTCAGTATTCTGAGATAAAAGTCAAAATTAACTCAGAATTCTGAGAAAAAAAGTCAGAATTCTGAGAAAAAAAAAGTCAGAATTCTAAGATTAAAGTCAGTATTCTGAGAAAAAAAGTCAGAATTCTGAGATTAAAGTCAGAATTCTGAGAAAAAAGTCAGAATTCTTAAAGTCAGAATTCTGAGAAAAAAGTCAGAATTCTAAGATTAGAGTCAGAATTCTAAGAAAAAAGTCAGAATTCTGACTTAAACTATAATAAAATTTAAAAATCATATAACTTTTTTTGTTTTTTCAGTGGCCCTAATCCTCATCTGTTCACATGTTTGTTAAAAGGGCTAGATGTTTTTTATTGACCTCTAAAAAATGTTGATGGTGACGTTTTATTTTGAAAATCTGTTGCGGAAGCGTAATTTTTTAGCATGACAGGATGCCAGCTTTCTGGGTTGATGGTCAGCCTGTCTGCCTGCCTTGCCTGTCTGTGTCAGGGGCTGGGTTTCTCTTATTCCAGAAGAGGGGAAAGGAAAAAAAATAGCTGTGACAAACATGACCAGAGAAAAACAACGATAAACAACACGAACAAATGAGGATTTAGAGCCTCCAGAGAACCCACCATGGCTATAAGGGAGCTGAAAGTTTGTCTTTTAGGGGTAAGTAGATGGTTTTCCTTTCTTTATTTTTATGGGTTGAAATTCCATCAGTGAGGGGAACTAACGGAAGACATTTTGAGGTGAAGAGCAACGCAACATATGTAGAAGCTTCACTTCTACATTCAGTTAACTTTGATTAAATAAAAATGAACATATTTTCCGTGTGTTTCCATGTCAACTTGTTGATGGCCAGTCGCCTTAAACAATACAATAAAAATGGCAAACTTTTTTTTATCCACCCATAGGCGCAGGTATCCCTTCCTGAGCTATTTCATCGCACCTTTTATACAGAATAACGGGACTTTTACCCGGTCCGTCTTAACGTCTTTTTTAGTTTTTTTTTTCTGAAAATGTCTCGCGCATGACGTCATTATCCGACCAGCGACCACACGTCATGAGGGCCGTTAGATTTACTGCTGAGTCTGCAAAAAAATAAATAAAGCCCTCAGCTCTTCCTTCAATAATCTATGACCAACTTTGTCGCAGTTTAGAAAGGATTTTAAGAGTAACAGGGAAAAGTTATTGGAGCTCTCAAGGAAAATAGGCTCTGTTCACTGACACATCTGTTTATGTTTATACTCCTTAAAAAAATCAGGATGATAACCTATAGGCCTGTGTATTGAACTTAGAAGTACGGAAGATGAATAGGGCAACCGAAAAAAAAAAAAAAAAGTTAACTGATTTTTAAATTTCATTTCAGTATAATATGAAGGGGGAAAAGCAAGAATTCTGATTTTATTCTCAGAATTCTGACTGAATTATGACAGCTATGATCCAAAATTCTGAGATTAAAGTGAGAATTCTGAAAAAAAAAAGTCTGAAGTCTGAGAAAAAGTCTGAATTTTGAGAAAAAAGTCTGAATTCTGAGACTAAAGTCAGAATTCTGAAATTAAAGTCAGAATTCTGAGATTAAAGTCAGAATTCTAAAGAAAAAATAGTGAGAATTCTGAGAAAAAAGTGAGAATTCTGAGATTAAAGTCAGAATCTCGAGAAAAAAAGTCAGAATATTGAGGAAAAAAAGTCAGAATTCTAAGATTAAAGTCAGAATTCTGACATATTAAACTGAAATAATTTTTAAAAATCAGTTATCATTTTTTCTTTTTCAGTGGCCCTAATTCTCTTCAGAATAGAAGCTCTCTAAAATGTGTGGAAAAAAACTTAAGTCGCCCCACTTTTTTTTTTTTTTTTAAGTTAAAATTAAGAAACAGTTACCCACATTTTTCAGGTCAATGCCACTAACCGCACCCCAGATTAATGACAACCTGAATTCCATTCAGGATCAGGAAACCTAAAGGAACCTGTCTGGCAACATGAATTAGGCTAACCTTAAAAAGCAACACATCATGACCCAATCCAGCAAATTAATGAAGGGATGAAATACATGCATCAGTCTGGAAAGGCTGACAAAGTGATTTCTAGGGGCTTTTGGGCTCCAGTGAGCTAAAGTCAAACAGAAAACAGGGTCCAGGAGCCAAACCAAAGTACTCTGAATGCGATGAGGTCTCACCCAGGAAGTTACACACAAACCCAGACCAACAGGAAGAAACGAATCAGTGGGAGGGTTTCAATTAGAAACCAATGTTGACTGAAAGTCAGATCTCACATTTTCCAATAAACATCTCAGGACTGACAAGATAAATAATGATCTTTTTGAAAAGTTGTCAGGAGAAACAATCTCATCAAGCCTGTCTTGATTAGGCAGCAGGATGATTATCCAAAACACGCCGGCAGCAGTTCCACCTCTGAATGGCTCAAAAAAACAAACAAACAAAAGATTGGAAATTTAGTAGTGGCCTAGTCAAAGGAGAGGGTTGAGTAACTTGGAATTCTTTGTAATGATAATGTTGCAATCACACTATCAGTTATCATGCAGAACGTGTCTTTTTTCTTATTTCCTCTCCTTCTTTCATCACTCTGTGACCTTTAGCACTTTGACAAATGTCTTTTGTGTTTGATATCATGAGACTGTCCAACTAGCTAAATATTACATTAGCAAGTAGAATGCCAGTCCATAGCACTTGGACTATATTAGCTGACATTCATTTCACTTCATAACATTCTTTGTAATATTTTTATTTTATACACTAACATTTGTCTGGTATACATTTCACAGCTTTATACTCTTTGTTATAAACTTAAGGCTCGCATTAGCATTAAAAGACTCATCAGCTGAGCTTCAGACCATCCAGTTGCATAATCAGTTTGCTTTAAAGTGACCCTGGCTTTTTATTTGCTGTGACTGACTTGTGACACTCTGCTTGCAGGACACAGGAGTGGGTAAATCCAGCATTGTTTGCAGATTTGTTCAAGATCACTTTGATCACAACATAAGCCCCACCATCGGGTGAGTACATGAATCACATGAGACTCTGTCACTGCTGCAAATCAGTCTATCAGAAGCTCAACAGTTCATTTGGGTTCATTTAAATATCATGGATGAGTTCCTAGCATGAATCCATAGGAGGAGGGATTGCTGCACACTTGATTGAACTAACTTTTTATTTTATTTTTTTCTTAAAGTAGGTATTTAAACATGACTTATGCTACATTCACATCTAACAAGATATGAGCATCAAAAAAGCGCCTGCTGCTTCATTTTTGATGCTCGTCAACATTAAGGTCAGACGTGCTTCTATTGCATCTTTGACACTCCTAAGTTAATTTAGGCATTAATAAAATGTTTCAGGGGAGTGATCATAGCACTCTGCAGTGCTATGTATGTCTCCCTGCTAGCTGCCAAATCAGCATCTGATTTGTTGATGTGACGCGTTGTGCATCAGAAGCTCATGAGGCGCTGCTTCGCCTGCTCAGATGTGTCAAGACGAGCTGCTCCTGCTGCTCGAGATGCACTGCAGGACCTTTTGATTCGCCTTTATGCGCGTCAACCATTGACTTTGTATGTAAACCAGTTGCTTCTAATGCTTCAATCGCAAGTGGCCTGAACATAGCACTATAAAAGTATTGACTCCCTTTAGGTCCATCACCGAGAAACTTATGCAACCAATTTTGAGCCCACTTGTGTTAAATTTGGTTAAATGTTAAAGATCCCCGAGAAGCAGAAATCAGATTTCGTCAAAGCACTATTTTGGAGATAGATTCAAATGACATTGTGCAGCTTTGGAACTCCCAGAAGGCATGGTGATCGCTAATATTTTGAAATGAAGTCACCATGACCCTCCCTTAATCGTTGTAACTGACCAAACCAAGCAACTGGGAAAGAACTGAAAATAATCACCCTCCAGTGGGTTCTGTTATTATCCATACTTGGATTCAGAACAGGATTCTAGTACAACAAATAGTTTCTAGAGTGAATAGTTGTGAATACTTTTTGACGTGTTCTAATTAACTTTGTAGGTAGATCTAAATTCTTATTAGGAACCACTAATTAGAACTAAGTCTTGTCATCAGATAAAACAGGGAAAAAGGAAAGTTAGTGTATAAAATACAGAAGGAGAGAAGCTTGAGGTTTATATCCTCCAAGGGTTCACTATTAAACACCATTTTTATAGTTTTTTTTTTTTTTTTTGATCAAGTGACAGCAGAGTCATTATTGGGAATTGCTCCTTCTTCTCTGCAGGGCATCTTTCCTGACCAAGACTGTGCCATGTGGAAATGAACTCCATAAATTTCTGATCTGGGACACAGCTGGACAGGAACGGGTGAGGAAAAATTCACTAACTCTTTTACTTTAGACTTTCATCTCCATAAATAATCCTTTTGAGGTCGTTTCCATTTCCTATCTGGCAGGAGAGCTGCTCATCACATAGTGTTACTTTTAACCAGGGCCGTGCAGAGACCACTAAAGGGGCAGGTGCTCAAAAAAAAAAAAAGGGCACATCTTATCGCATTTTAGGACAGAATATTAACAAAGTCACATAGCTTTCAGAGTTTAATGAACAATGATAAATTAAAAAATTGTGAGACATACAATCAAAGCTAAGGGAAATATCTACAAAGAACATAGAACTATGCATATGTAAAATATTTTATTAGTAATTTCTTTCTGCAGGTCTATTTTGTTATAGGAAAGTATTACAATATTCAAACCTGCAATTTAGCCAAAGATGTAAATCAGAGCTGGACCACCAGACATATTTTGTCTTTACAGAATTAAACTGTTAAAAATGCATACAAGGGCACAATGCAACCTTTTAGTGTACTGTAATCTATAAAAAAGAATGTCTGCCTGGTTTGCTGTACTGACAGTGGAGATGGAGACGGTCCATTCAGAAAAGCAGAGCTGCTGCATCAAACTTTAACTAGAACTGCAGAAAAAAAAGAACAAAACAAACATTTTATTAATGCATGTCACCATGAGAAAAGCCTACTCTGTTTGTGTCTTAGTGTATTTTGTAAGTACCTATATACATTTTCTTCAATCTTTCCTCTTCGTTTTTTCTTGTCAGTTTCTCTTTTCTTTTTTTCCTCATTGTCTCATCTTTTCTGTGTTGAGTGAAGGTCAATGTCTTATTTATTTCAGTCTCTTGCCTTTCTTTTCCCCCCAAACTAAATCCAAGATTATGATCCAAAAACTTATTTTCCGTCATGGTGATTTAACTGTTTAAAAACAAATTTCCAACTTTTAAGCATTTTTGCTATTTTTGTTCTCTTTTGTTCACAGCAGCAGTTTTCTGTTAGCCATGTCTTTAAAAATGTTAATGACCTCACTGTGAATGATTGGCACATCCTTCTCCATTGCCAACAAGCTGCGCAGTTTTGTTTTCACCAGCTTCATACATTATATCTATCATATATCTATAATGGTAGTTCTGGATGAGTTCTCCTTCAAGATACATTTACCTAACGCTAGAATAAATGAAATGTACATTATGCAGCAAAGGAAATTAGAAAATCAGACATATATCCATTATGGAGATAATAGGTTTTTGACGGGCGATGTGCCCCTATTGCATAAGTAATACTGAAGAATGTCCTACTATCATTAACGACACAGGGAAGCTTTTTAGTTATCTTGCTTTGCTAGCAAAGTCATTAGCTAGCAGCTAGCTCATAGCACAAGAACAACAGCCTAATGTCTGTATGATAAAAATACTGAATCGATAGATAAGAACAGCTTTTCCTCACCTGGCTGTCTCCTCCCGCTCAGTAGTTCTTCAGAGAAAGGCGCGCCGCGTCCTATACTTTCCTCCGTTTAAACCGCTACTCTTTGCTAAAGTAGAGAAATTATACAACGTTCAAAGTTTTCCGTTGTCTGACAAGTAGCAAGCCTACTCCAGTATTTTCACCAAAAAGTATGTTTTTTAATTCACAAAAAAACTGTTCTGTAATCATTACAGAACAGTTTTTTGTGAATTAAAAAACATAATTTTCAATGTAAAAGACTAAAAGCACAGAGTAAACAGTGTTTTAGATCAAACAATACTGCATCATCCATGGGGCTCATTTGGTTTCACTTACATGTCTATTCAGGTTGACATTGGAGAGGCGGTGCAGACTGAAGACATAGCCATCCGTCCGATCATGGTTGATCTTGCTTAGGGCCAAATGAGCAGCGGCCACAGTGTAATGTGGAATATTCGCTACCTTTAGCTCCGCAGTTAGCCGCCTTATCTGACTGTGCGAGAGGCAAGTGCGTCGTCACCGGCAAAAGGTCAAAGGTAACAATGTGACCGGAGGGCTTATTGTATTGTTTTTCTTGCCAAAAAAAAAAAGATAATAATAATAATTTCAGTACATGTGTCAAATAAAAAAAAAAAAAAAAAAAAAAAGAAAGGGACCAAAAGGGCACATTGGGATCATGGAGCAAAAGGGGCAGGTGCTCAAGCCCCCTTAGCCCCCCCCTCTGCACGTGCCTGCTTTTAACAGTGCAACAGTCTGATTGATTGGGTTAAAAGGTCAGGAGATGTTTTCTCTTTGGGATGTAAACACTGATCCTGTTCCCCTCAGTAGTTCTTACCTCCACTGAACAACTAATGATCCACTCGTCGTGTGGCGTTGCATTGGTGTTTTTTGGTGTTTTGTGGTGAATTATTTTCATTTGTTTTAAGCTCAAAGAAAAAAAACATGTTCATTTAAATTTGACTAAAATAAGGCAAAAATAGGAAGGCTAAAATAGGAAAAATACTGTACACTAACAGGGACAAATGAACATTTGAACCTTTTTGTGTTGCACTGACTTTCCATCCCTGCATCTGATGAAAAGTAGGTCATTTATTACCCAGGTTTCCCACCACAGTGACCTAAAATGTCTCACATCTAGCAAACCGTCATGTAGTACTACATTTTTGACTCGATTTGTGAAAAGAGAAAGAAGGCAAGCAAGTGACTGACAGTGTTTTGATTGATTTAATTACGGGTCGGTGGCAGTGGAAGCTGCTGCTATGACGGGAGCTCAATGGTGTAATAATCCAAACGTCACCTATTGCATTTATAAACACATTATACAACGGGTGAATATAGCTGTTGGTGAAGCGCCATTAAATATTAAACTGCTGAGATGATGGCAGAGTTGACTTCTCTTACTGAATGATCACTTTTCGCCCTCGACTCATGAGGAAACAAACTCTCCGCTGTCTGGCCACTGCCAGTAGCAAATCCTTTAGTATGTTTGCCAATCAGATTTGAGCAGCCAGCTTCTCGACCCGCCCCTGATCCATAGACCCCCTTAGAGGCGGAGCCTCGCTGGAAGTGACATATTTTGGTGTGTTAGCCAATCAGGGCCTTACTTTTTCATTGCTTACCTCATAGACAGAGGCTCAAACCTCAAAAGAGATTTCTCATAGAGGTTGACCGGCAGTGTGCTGCTGCTTCAGAGTAGATCGGAGATCACTTCCGAGAGCGCACTCAACAGGTGATTAATGCGCAATATGCTCATGAAATTAGCTTCATCGAAATTAGCTTCATCGTTATAGGGTTACAATAAGCTGCCTCTGATCTAAAGCACAGAGCGGCAGGCCAAAAACGATCAATGTTGTTGTTTTGTTGTGACACAGACTTGTTATTTTAACATTCAAAGCATTCAAAGTAAAGGCCTGTTTATTCTTTTCTTTAGCTCTCCATTTTTATCCTGCTTGTCTCATCAGATGGAAAATATGATACAGATTTCTGCTGACGACAGTGGGAAATTTCACTGATGTTGCACATTTCATTACATGCCTACAAATGATTTAATGACTCATTCAAATACAAACATAAAGCATTTGTCATCGGTACAGCCAAACATTTCCTTTTACACCTATCAGCACGCTTAGTGGAAAGATGGAAAACAACTTTAAAAGATCAACAAGGATCCTACCCATTACTGAAATGGTGTCAATCGTATCTGCTCTGATAAACCGAAATATTAAAGGGGTTGACTTTTAAAGAATGTGTTGGGGGCAGCTTTACTCATCTCATGAGTAACCCTTCTTGAGGTGATAAAGAGAAGAATTGAAGTAGGCCTGTAGTTTTGCAGTAAAAGCTTGTCCAGGTTGCTTTTTTTCTATAGAGGTTTGATTATTACAGTTTTCAGGGACTGGGGGAGATGTGTTTATTATTTGAGATAATCAGACATCTTGTGTAATGGCAGCATGTGCAGCCTTGCAATAAATGGTATAGGCTGTATTCGAACGTGCGCCCTAATCACTATATAGAGCACTATATGGTGGTTATGCCATTTTAAATGACTGTTAAAATGTCTAAGTGGATGAAAAAGTAGTGGACTTGAAATTACCCAAAATGCACCTTGAAAAGTAGTGATCAACCAAGGGCTCTGTTCGAAAACCTAGGACGGGTCCTCCAAGGACGCGGTCTACCTAGACTGGATCCTTCGAAGTCCTTGAAAATAAGGAGACTGGAAGAGTTTTGGCTGTGAATTCGACCAGGTCTACCTTTCGGCGGGTTTTACCGCAGTATGCGCTGTTGCTTAGCAACCGTGAAAGTTGACACACAAAGCAGGAAAAGAATGAATACCGAGGTTTTCAAAACTGTTTCTTTCTTTATTTATTTTTTAAAAAGTTAAAGTGAACAAAGACTACACTCACAAGAATCCAGAGTGGAATAAAGGTTCCAACCACCGGGAGCAGGAACAAATAAAATCAAATGTAATGATAGAAACCTTAGTCAGTTAAATAACCTGCTGCTGTCATTTTGCACATCTCTGATGTTGCTGCTATTTTCAAATATCCATTACTGTAAAAATGTCCATAGCTGGATATTGGTTATTTATTCTCCAGTTTTATTTTGTTAAAACACTTTACAGAATTTTATTGTTTATATTTTAACTCTTCCCTATTATGTTATCCTTATACATTTTTCTAAGGTCCACATTTGTGTGACCATTTTCAATAATCTTTCTGCTGCTGTAAATCTGCCCATTGTGGGACAATAAAGGGATTTTCTATTCTATAAAAGGGTTAGAAATATATAAGTAAATCTAAACAATGTATTTATAAAAAAATATATCTGCAAAATCTCTAATATTCAACAACAAAAAATACAAAGTTAAGCATATTGTGCAAAACAGCAATAAAAAGATCCTATCAGATTCATAGTTCCCACCCTGCAGATCTATTAGAATCTGTCCTTAAATTCCAGCTAAACCCATTTACACAGTAACAGATAAAAACCTTTAGATAAATCAAACATTACCGCCACATATCTGACTCAATAACCATTAAAACAACTATTTTCATTCATTTCAGACGGAACTATTCACAGAGTTGTATTATATTAAACTGAACTTCCAATTTTCACCACTGTTCGGCGCCAAGTAACCTTTCCTCTGATCACAGCTTGCTTGGTCTCGCAATGAATCCTGGGATATCCAAGAATACCGAGGATACATCGGACCCGTCCTTCAAATCGGGCAAAAAGAAGGACGCATTTTAAGGCCGCATAACGAGGACTCTTGGAATCCGACCAGACCTCGGCGCCGCGCTATGACGTAATCGGCCTTCGAATCCGGTCTTCTAAGGATGCGTCCTAGGTTTTCGAACAGAGCAAAGGTCACTAGACAAACAGATATGTCCCAGATTGCTTTGCGAGAGCTCTCCTTGCAAAGCATCATGGGATTTGTAGTAGTGGTGACAAATAACAAGATGCGCAGGCAGAGTTACATGAACAGCAGGGAGCAAAAAGTAGAGAGTTAGTAGAGAGTAGAGTTCTCTATAAAGTTCACTATATAGTTCAGCTCTATACAATGATCGAGGGGTTAGGGCAGACGTTTGGACACAGCTATGGTATTTCTTTTCGTTTAAATACATCACTTTATATAATAGTTCACCATAGTGTAATTGATTCTTTCACTTCTGGGATTTGGCATTGGTTAACTATTTGGGTGCACATGTACCCCATCCGTCCCAGAAGCAGGATCCGTACCATCAGCTGATTTGCACATGTGGAAGCAGATATTCTTCCAGGTTGCCATAAATAATGTAATCATGGTACTAAAAGTAATTATTTTTATCCTTAAATCGCTAAAAAATGCTAATACACATCGTTAAAACATTTTTAATGACTTTTCTGAGAAAATTTGATGCTTTTTACATTTTCTCCATTAAACTGCTTTTGTGACGTAATCATCGGACATGCTCATAGTAGTCTGGTAAAATATTATTACACCATGTTTATCTGCAGTTTACTAGTTTCTTTCTTTAGATTATGCATGGTATAATAAGGTTAACATGAAAGAAAAAAAAAATAAAACTCAAATAGACTAGATTTATGTTTGAAATTAAAGCCAAAAAAAGTTAGCTCCTGGAAGTAGCGCAGGATCCTATTTCCTGTAAAGATCGGGAACAGACGAGTGATAAAACAGAAAGGATTTTGATGCATTTTCTCAGGAAATACATTATTAACCTTTAACACATTATTGTTTAGTATGCTTACTATTTTTATTGAGGGAAAATTTTTATTTAGGTCTTTTTTACAAAGTAAAATCGAAGGCGACCCAGATGTTTTGGTTGCACATGTGCAAATGAGCTGATTGTACGGAGGGTGCTACCGGTACGGATCGGGTAGTGACACTTTACATTTGGAGGACTCCTTTTGCTACTTCTTGCTTGTTTGGATAACCTTAAATTAATATAGGCCCAACCCCAAACCACTCATAAGCACTACCCCTTAACTATCGAGTGTCACTCCCACTGAAGTCACACTTGCAGCTGTGGAGGCCGCCTTGAAAGGAAAAGGAAAGCAGTCATTGCTATGAAAACGCAAGGATAGCTCATGTGCATGGCTGTAGCTCTATGGTGCAGGTCAACAGGTTTATCAAACATTTTCCCGTTTCTTAAAACAACTGTTAATATTAGGACCTTCCCTTTTGAGATTAATGACATCTTTTCTTTTTCCTAACTTGTTATTTTGTGTCACTGTGACATAGACTGTTCCCTTCACCATTAGTTCTCTGTTACACCCGTTTGTAAATTCTGCCTTATGACAGAAAGCTTTCTTAAGGAACACTGTTTGTAAAACATTGAGACGGCAGGAGGAAGAGTCTACCTGATTTTACACAATATTTCTTAACCTAGACATCAACCTTCTTCAGAAAAGTCTATATGTGGAAAAAAGATGGATTTTGTTCCCTGATTTTAACTACTAAAACCATTGTTTTTTTCAGTTTCACTCATTAGCTCCTATGTACTACAGAGGATCGGCTGCTGCTGTCATTGTTTATGACATAACTAAACTGGTGAGTCAAACAAACAAGCTGCCTACAACCTACTGTGCAACAAAAGCAATTTTCTGTCCTGTTGAATAATTAGACATGAGGAGGATGAAGGGAGGATTACCAGTCTTTGAAACTATGGTTCCATGACCTACAGTGTCCTTCTTTCCCTGTCGGCCCCTCGGAAACTCATCTGAAAACACCAACACTGACTGTGTGACCGGAGGTAATGACTACTGGAAATATTCCAGTCTGACCATAATTTCCTCCTCCTTCCAGGACTCCTTCCAGACACTGAAAAAGTGGGTAAAGGAGCTGAAGGAGCATGGCCCAGAAGACATTGTTGTAGCCATAGCAGGAAACAAGAATGATTTAGGAGATATCAGGTGAGCTTATATCTTCACAGGTTTTAACCAAAGATTGTCTCTCTCTGCCTGGAATTAGGATCAACAGGTTTCTGTTTTTGCTATCGCACTTCAGTCTTTTAGATCTTCACCTGAATATTACTGTCAGATAATCTCCGCACAAATGTCAGTTTTTATTGATAATTTCAAGGATTATGTTAAAAAGCCATCTAAACCAATGTGGTTCTTTGTGAAAAAGTAATGGAGACAACTGCCATCAGGCCTTTGCAATACGACAAATAGATCTTCAAGCATAACCAGCCTGTTAAAGGTCATTTCACAGGTTTACAGGTCCAGACTTTAATTAGGCCACTCCTACTTGAGCTGACCCAAATGCCTGATTTTCTTCTTTTTAAATTTACAATAGAGGAGATGGTTCATTCATTAAGAAAAAAAGAAAAAACCCAAAATTCTTGAGGATCATCATGATATTTTCTAGCAAATTTAAGATGAGAGGCTTCTATTCTACCATAGAGGCCTTGATAAGTTCAGATTTTTGAATGGACTTTGTTTCCAAGTTAGAAGAGGTTTTGATTCCCATCCAGGAAGCTTTTTCAGTTCTAAATGTCAGGAATAGCGTTGAGTTCTAGGTTTTATACAGTAGCTCATGCCCATCTAAATGTCTGAAACTTCAGATGGGTAAGGGGTATTGCAGTCTAACAAAAGAAGCTGAATGATCCCAATTCCAAATGGGTGGACCCCTTTGTCAAAAACAAGGCTTTGTTGGGCTACTGTATAAAACCTCAAACTCAACGCTCCAGTTGATTGTTTTTAATTTTCTTTTTTTGGAAATATTATACACAATTGCAATCAACAACATAATTTTAGATTTCCAAAGAACTTTTCCATTGGATTTCACAAGAGTTATAGTTACACTGTCAATGCCCATGTGCATGGCAGTTGGATGTTGTAATACATCGGGTAACAGTGAAAAAAAAAAAGACTTATTTCACCTTTCCGCTACATAATCCACAAGTTCATTGTTGGATTGCCATCTAGAAGAGGGAGGATTAACCTTCGACCATCTGGCCAGAGAAAAAACACGTAATATGTAGCCAACATTTCGAAGAATGTTTTAAAGATGACTTGGATAATAACGCGTTGTGAAAAATACCAGATACAGCATCGGGACTTGCTCAACAGCTGGTACCGCAGCGTGACGTCACCGACTTTACTTGATATCTCCAGTAAAGGACATTCAAATAAAAATTACTCTTAATTAAAACACTTATCATTTATTGGTCAGTATGTAACAATTTAATATTTAAAGTACTTTCAGAAGTTTGAATTCTGAATATGACCAGACTTTTCCTTTACATTTTTTATAAGTTAAAAAATGTAAAGGGTGTGCTATAAAAATGTGTGCTATAAAAATGTAAAATGCCAACAAAAAACTTGAAAGGGAAGAAATTGAAAGGGGGGGTATAGTATTTCACAGCACTACATGTGAGTGATAAAGGGCTGTTTTTAAGCTGGTTAGACTCTTTCTTTAGAACCAATCTAGTAAAAAACAAGGAAACTGACTAATTAGACAAAGATTGAAGAAACCAGCTTTGTTTTTTATCCCCCATTTGCCACTGCAAAAGGAAACCACTGTCCTAACTGCTGTAACCCACTGTATCCCTCTCCACATAACTTTCTACTGCATTTGTCGAGTTTTTTTTGTAAGTAAGGAAATTCACTTGCAAAAATTTCCATCTGAGCCTGTTTTCCACTTTTGTGCTGTTCTTCTGTTACACAGGGAAGTTCCTATGAAGGAAGCAAAGGAGTTTGCTGAATCAATTGCAGCTATTTTTATTGAGACCAGCGCCAGAAATGCAGTGAATGTGGAGGAGCTCTTTCAGAAAATCAGTACGTTTTCACACCTTTATGTTCCATCTGTAGATTCAGTCTGAAACAATTCTGACACAAATCCATTCACTTTCTAGTTTTTCTCTGCAACATTTCATTAGGTTTGTTGACAAAGTTACAGTGACATATTCAGATAAATGCAGATAGAATCACAGTGAAAAAAACATTTTGTTGCTGTTTGAAGCATATTTTTTCTTCAGCCAGTGTAGTTTCTTGTTAGGGAGCAATTTTATTTTATTTTTTTTCCAAATTCAGTTATTTCTGCTTTATAGAATAACACCATATGTATATAAACCTGCTGTAAAAACCCCATAAACTCAGTTTAAAGTAGGATTAAGCAAAAAAAATGGGTAAGCCTGTTTTTGTAAACCATCTGACATTGATGAATGCAGTGACTGGAAACAATTGTCATTTTTTAATTCCCTAACCCTGTTTATAATTTTGGTGTCCTCGCCCACATAATTTATGACACGGGGAACAAAATACATTTCTTCTCAGTTTAAAGTAACAGCAGAATCACAAAAGAATAATAATTATAATAAAGCTCAAAGCAAAGTTCCAAGCTGTTTCTGTAGATGTTGCAATTATTTTGTCAAATTCTGTGGCTATATTTGATTAAAGATAAATATATTTTCATTCCTTAGTAAATCAATCAATTACACATATAAACGGAAAAAAAAAAACAATTGTTATCTATATTGTATTTCTACATGCAATAAAGAAATCAAATTGCCACTGATAGGATAAAAATAAAATGGTAAAAGCGATAAAACTCAATATTACGTTTAGAATAGATAAAGCAATAAAAAGGAGAAAACACAAGTATTAACATAACCGGCCTAATGCTCAGGCTTCTCAGAGAAAAGAAAATGCATTGCAGTCCAAATGATAAGTGTATTAGAATCATATTATCATTGTTTTATTAAAAATTGGCATGGGTGTCCTGATCCGATATTAATATCTATTTGTTCCAATATAAGCCAAAAATCTGATATTGAATTTTATCAGTCAGCATTTAAAATCTCTGATATTTTCATGCATATACAAACACTGTGCTTCTATTAAAGGCTTCTGTAACTTACTGGTTAATTTTATATGGGTCAGTCGTTTTAATACCTGTTCCTTGTTTCAGTAAAATTACTTAATCAAGCCTTTTCTGTCATTCGTCAGTATAAAACAGTAACAAAAGCCAGTGTAATTTCTGCTAATATTGTATCAGGTTAATTCCAGGATTGGCCAATTCTCAAAGCTGTGATATCGGTATCGTATCGGAAATAAAAAGTTGATTCGTGACACCCCTAAAATGTTGTAAAAATGAGGAAACAATTTTAGTAGACTTCAAGTAATTAATTTTGAAATTAAACCAGCTGCAAAAATTTGTTTACATCAATAACATTTTTTACTATCTATAATTACTTTTATTATTAGCATTCAAGGTTGTTTTAGCATATTTTTAATTGATAAACAGCCATTGTGTAGCAGCAATATGCAGCCCTGAGTGCTCAGTTCCCAGCTAATTCCCTAACCATTAAATCCATACTACTCACAAATTTAGAACTCATTCAAATCTTAAGCAGAAAAATATGCATTACAGTCCTGATTAAAAGACGTAAATTAAAAGTCTCCCTATTCGTTGCTGGAAGTAACCATCATCAACTTCTCACGTGGATTAAAGCAATTGAAAATTTGCTCATTTCAACTGACAACACTCTAATCAGGTGCTTTGTTGCTGCCCCCACCCACCCCTCTATTCAACCGTGCCCATTAGGCCTATAAACACCACTAACTTTAACAGTAAATGTAGCCTTTTTTAATCGTGATATATGATAACTTCAGTTAGCCTGAGGATCCAGCTTTAGTTGTAAAAAATTGTGTTTCAGTCTGTAGCATTCATCAAGGTCATTTAAGAAGGGCAGGGCCAAAGTGTGTTGGTCTTCAAATAATAAGAAGCCGACCTTTTTAGATGCTGCAGCAATCTTTCCCTCACCACATTCCTTGGAAGTTCAGCCAAAGATGTTTGTTTCATGCTAGAGTTATTTATTGACTCCTTTCAGAAGTCATTGTTGATTGTGTTTTGTCAGGTAAACAGATCCCACCCCTGCAAAATGCTGAAGTGGAGAGCAATGATTCCTTCAAACTCACTCGGCAGCCCAACCCGACCACCAGGAGGTGCTGCTAGTACCCACACAGACTGATGTGATGAGATCAGCTTTTTCAACACCCGGATAAACAAAATCCACAGTGCACATGGCATCCTGCCTGCCAAAAGGACAACTCTAAGGTCATAGAAAGGGAGAAATAGCAGTACTAATTAGGTCTAAACACCAACTTTGATCATGTAAGCCAGCAGCAATATTAAGGTTTGTCTCCCTCTAGTGGTTGTTGGATCAAATCACATTAAACACACTTTCCAGAAGAATTTGCTCCTTAGAGGCAGTATTTACTTCTTCAAATATTTCTACGTGACTCTGGGATGATTGTATCAACCTTTGTGTATTCATAGATTTTTTTTTTTTGTGCCATCTTGTTTCACCCTTAAAGTTCACTAGGACATTTAACAGCGCAGGTTCTATTAGCAACATTTAGCTGAGCTTTAGTTGAGTCGATCACACAGTGCCTTTTCTTTTTAAAGGAATCTTTTTAATGCTGTAGAATAAACCTCTTCATGAGTTTGTTGAAGATGTCTATGGAAACATTTCATAGTGCACTACACAGGATAGCTGTAAATAACTGACGACAGCTTTGTTTTCTTTTTTTAAGCAGGAGGAAAGGGGGTTACATTTGTAATGTTAATTAAAAGTAAAACCTGAAGGTCTTCTTGTAAAAACATGTGTTGTTGTCTAACTACTATATCTAAAAGGTAACATGGGAATAAAACCCAGGTTTTTGACTTGTAGGATCAGGTTTAAGGTCTTAGCCTACTTGTGTAAATTAAGATTATATTAACATCCTGTTTTCTTTTTTTTTTTTTTTTTTTTTTTTACAGTTCTGTCTGTTCTGACAACATTTTTGATGATACCTGATAAAATACCTAAAGAAAATCACTTCTATGGTTCTTCATGAAAAAGACGAGGATGAACATTGTTTTTACTAACCTTTGTAATATTGATATCTCTATACTTTGCAATGCAACATTGCACAGATTCCTGCATGGGATGATCTAAGTATTGTTGTAATGGAAAATCATATGAAATCTCATTATGGAACTGCCAAATAGTATTACCTTGCTTTTAGAAATCCCCTCCCTCAGCATACCATTGAAGTGAGATATAATGTGCCTTTTATTCCACCATCAGGCTTGTGACTACAGTCTTTCTCTGTACCAGAAAAGAGTTATGACTTTAAAATAAGCGTTTAAAGAGAGGTAACAGCTGCCTGCTGACATCCGAATGTTGAAAACCTTTTTTTCCCATTGTGCATTGGGATGAATATGACCTTCTGTATTTAGTGACATTCCCATAAGTGTTACTTTTTTTTTTTTTTTGATAAAGTTTAGGATAGTTTAAAGTGACGACCACTAAGACAGCGATTGCTTGTACGGTCTAACTGTACTTACAAAGTGCCCACTCTTTATAGTTAATCTCATTTACTATATATATATATAAGTCATGCATCCGTTTTCCCAATAGAAGAGGTTTAATTTGTATATCAAAACATTGCAGTACAGTATTATTCATTAAGTTCTTGTTTATGAAGTGTTTTTTCTCTTCTGAAAATAAAACATACATTCCAAAGGGCTTACGATCCAGACTTTTTAATTGATAACACAAGTCCACACGGCTGTAATATAGATGCAGTTCAGGCCAATTTGATTTCTATGATCCAGAACACTTCAACCTTTAAGGAGTTCATTTGGATGTTTATCCCCCATCTTTGGTGTAGGATCACGCATCGGTAAAGTACATTAGAGTTGTATGACAAGACTACGTAACAAATTACTGCTGTGTTGTTGCACTTAAGGGACTGTGAGCTGAAACACAGATGCTACTCAGAGTTTCCCTCCTACAAACTACTTTAAAATGTTGATTTTTCCATTTGATAAAATTTTATTACTTCATTTCTTACAAATTCAGTCCTGTAAGACAGATATCAATCCATTTAGATTGGTTTTGGTAATGATAATTGGTCAAACCTGAAATGTTTCTTGTTCCTTTTTTTTTTACATTATACATCCAACACTCATTGCAGCTGCATAGATGGAAAAACATGCAATACTGGTTTAATTAGAATAACTAATTCTGACATTTAAGTAAAACTAAATTGAAATGGGGAGATTTATAATTAAATTAGTGGTATGGGTTCTAGTTGATGGAAAATCTCAGCTGGAAAGCACACTGAAAACTTGTTAGAAGTATAGGAGTTTTAGCTAGAGCCAGAAAATTCCTGGACATAAAGGCATTTCCTCATTTGTTCATTGGTCTCAGCAAACTTTAAGAATAACTGTGAGCTTCAGGTGCCACAGAAAAAGACACTATTCATTCAGTCTAAAATCTAAAAACTTTCAGATATGGTTCAATATTTAACATTATGAACAGTGTACCATGCAAAAAGTAATGCTGCTGAAAAATATTAAAATTGATGTTCCGGGCATGCAGGTGGTAAACTGGTTAGCGCGCACCACCCATGTATGGAGGCCTTAGTGGCCGACCTGGGTTCGAATCTGGCCTGTGGTCCATTTCCACATGTCTCTCATACCCCCTTTCCTGTCAGCCTAATGTTGAAAAAATGAGTTACTAGTCCCATGAAAACTTAAAAAAAATGATTTTCCTCGAAGGGGGTGGGGTATTGAAACTTAAACATACCAGCCAGGAAATGCTTTTGTCTCGGTTTGTGGTGAAGCTTTGGAACGCTATATGGGTTGAGCTTAGGGAATGCCCACGGATGAGACAATTCAAAATAAAATGTAAGAAGATTATTCTGTCCCAATACAGGAGAGATGGAGGAACTTTCAGTTGAAAAGCTCCTGGTAGGATTTGGTTCCTACCAAGAGACTCTCTGTTTGGTAGCAATTATAACACCATGTCATTGATCCCTTGCACAGCCCTCATCCACCTGATGGGCAGAAACTCCTACATCTGTTTGCTCTTCCTGGATTTCTCCTCAGCTTTCAACACCATCATACCGCAGACCGTGGTTTGGAAGCTCTCCTTACTGGACTGAGTCCAACACTAGAGATTTGTTCCTGGACTTTTTGACTAACAGACCTCTCCTCTATCGCCCTCAGCACAGGCTTGCCCCAGAGCTGCATGCTGAGGCTCTTCCTGTTTCCTCTGCTGACATATGACTGCATGACAGGATGCCCTAGTGGGACACCTCACACCTGGTGCAGTGTGTCAGTCTGAAGAAGAGAAGAAGATGGTGGTGGATTTTAGAAGGGACGAGAGTCCTCATCACCCTCTGTATATTGCAGCTGTGAAAAAGCGGTGTGAATCTATCCAGTAACCTTAACTAGTGGGCCAAAACATCCTGTTGGGTCAGGAAAGCCCGTCAGCGTCTCTGCTTGACTTGATAGTTAATTGCTAAAGAACTTTAATTGCTGTATGGTAAAGAACGTTCTATGCACTTGAATCACCATATGGCACGGCTGCTGTACTGCTGCTGAGAGGATGGTTCTGAAAAGACTGGTTAATTCAGCTTCATCTACTTCTCTTTCTTTTCTTAAAATATTAAGCTTATTGATAGGAGTCCAAATTTCGTCCCACAAACATGCAAATGTGAGATGGTATGATGATACAAAACCCTTGAATTTTTCAGGCAGTTTTGAATGAGGATTTTAAATCTACATTCTTAGGTCTGTTCATGGCAACATTTCATAAAAGTTTTTTAGTACGCAAGAAGGTAATACTACATATGCATATGTTAAAGAAAACTTGTAGGTATAGGGAACTAAAAGGGCCTCATCCACTTGAAGTCCCTTGTTCTTCCAAATCCAGCTATAAGCACACATGTATATCACCACACATCTATCAGTACTTATTCAGACAATACCAAAAGTGCATGTGATAAATTTAATGCACAGACTTAATGAAGGAATATTTTTTTATTTCATTGCAGCAAAATTACAGATATGACAAAAATGTATTTACTGCATTTATTCCATACTTTAACAACATTGATTGAAATGCAATTTTTCATTTTTTTCAATTGTATTTTTTTAAGCAGATATGAAAAGAAAATGTTTTTTTTTTTTATTCTGTCTGGTAGCTGTTTATTTCTGATTTATACTATAATTTAGAAGTTCTTAGGGATTTAAAATTAGCAAGAAGAAATAGATAAATAGTGCATTAGTGTGGTCATGATAGCCTGCCCTACGAACTGTCTGTAGAATGTGTAATGCTTTATATTTAACAAGTTAGATATTTAAGTAGTATTTTTTGTTTATTTTGAATATAGCTTGTAGAAATTGATAGCCCGAAACAAAGTTTCTCCGAAAATATAAATATTACTTAAAAAGGTTATTTGTCTGTCTACACATGTATCTATTGTTTTATCACATTATTGGTTTTAATGCAATGTTATGCAAGGGGAAATAATCACACCTGGCAAAAGTGAATTAAAGGGTCGATAATGTCAGCCTGTATGTAATTAACTTGAATAGAGTGATTCACTTAATAAACTGAACTTAAACAAATAAACTTTTCAATCATACCCTAATTTAGTTTAGGTTGTTTTAACATAATTGAAAAAGAAAAGAAACTGAAAAAAAAAAAAAAACATGTATGGCTCTACCTTGGCTTTTTCTGCATTTGTGCTGCTATAGGCTTAGACTGCTGGAGGACATAGGGACGCCATTTCATCTTTCCATCTCTATTCTCCCATTCTGTAGTATTTGATAGCTCAATCTCAAACTTTATGCTCTCTCTGCTTCATCTGTTCTGTTCCTGTTTGGCTGTGACACCATCCTGGAGAGAAGTGTCAGCAGTGCTGCTGCCATCTGCAGCTTTCTTTGTGGATGTTGGAGCTTGGCCTGTTCTTCAGTGTAGCCCTGTTTCTCTGACTGATTAACTGCATGTGCTCTCATTCATCCTTTGACATGGCAGATGGTTTGGAGCTCATCTGCCTGGCTGTGTATTTCCTGGATGGAGCCGCCTGTGGAGCTGATTAACAGTTGCGTTTTCTTTGTCTGCTTCTTTGTACGCTTCTGTCTCCTTGAACCCCAGTCTGCCTCAGCAGATGGCCGCTCACACCTGGTTCTGCTGGAGGTTTCTTCTGGTTAAAAGGGAGTTTTCCTCTCTACTGTCGCTACACACATGCTTGGTGTGAGGGATTGCTTTGGAGTAAATAATTCAAAGCAATCAGCTGGTTTTCCTCAGATAGAAAACTTTGAACCACTCTGACTGTGTGATCTGCTTGAACTGTCTCTTTAAAGTGTTTCGAGATGACATGTGTTGTGAATTGGAGATATATAAATAAATTGAACTGAATAAATAAAATTTCACACTTGACACAGAAACAGCTTCACTGATTGAATGACTAAATATACAATCTGTTGAATAAAAATGCTGCATTTATATATTGATAAAGAACTCCATGTGGTCCCTGGGCCCTACATGTTCCTAAATTCAGCTTCAGGAATTTATTATGATATCAGCTAACATGACAGGATATGTCATTGTGGGATATTATAATGAAATATATAGTTATAAAATATAACCCCATGGAATTTAATCCTATATGAGGTCCTCATGATAACGAATTAGTCTTTATGTTATAGGTCTTAATTGGCCTATTTATTTTTCCAGGATCGAGTCCTGTTTTTTTCCATGGGCAAGTTAAACAGATACGCAACGTAAACCAGACACACTACAAATAAGGCACATCTAATCTTATGAGGGTCACATCGGGATATTTGATACGTTTTTATTTTTTTTTATCGAATGTTCTTCTAATTTGACCGTATAACGAGTTTAATGTAGCGTAATCTCATCAGTTAGAGAGCCACGAGGACGCGGCGCAGGGCTGAGCTTCCTTCAAGTACTTCTACCCACATGTTGCTCCGCTCCGCCGCTAAAACTCCGCCAACGTTTGACTCACTCCGTGGCAGAGTATCCAGGATTTCTCCACTTGTCATTCCACGACACCGACAACTAAGTACATCCCCCCAATTCAGCTAAAATGTCCAAGCTGGACCAGGTCCTAATCCTCGACCCTCCCTGCGACCTCAGATTTAAAGGTAGGATCATTAAAATGCACTGACATGTAAAGTGTCCCATCGGTTGGTGTGACTTTTTTTTTTTTTTTTACACATTGGAGTCATCTTTTTTTTCTGGGGCTGCCTATTAGGCTAACGAACGTTCACCGCCATTTTAAGTTAGCCATGGAAAAGGACAGGCCGCTAGAGCCTCGGACTGTAGTGACGTTGCTAGCCGGCGTAGCGCACACCGAGGCGGGCTGCCGCAGAGTACCACCTCGCTGAAAACAAACCAGTACATATCTCTACGAATTATTGCGTGTATTAAATTAGAGTTTGGAAACTGAGTCAAAAACGAGTGTATTTCAGTCTGTATTTCCATGTAGTTTAATGTAATATGTTATAATGCAGGTATCACTAATGTTAGCCTTAAATGTTTACTGGTCTTCAATAATAGGATAGATAAAACGTAAACATTATAGCAAAACGCGGCGTTTAAAGCGTCCCACTAAAGGCACGAACAACTTTAGGTTAAGATAATAAAGTTGCTAGACAGCTTAATTAAAAACCTTAAATGAATGCAACATTATACCGTTTTATTTCAGTTGGGCTAATATTAGACCATTTCTCATACAAATGCTGGCTTTAATAACACAATGTAGAAAAATTAAGAGATATGTTGCTATTAGAAACCCTTTCATTTGTTTAAAAATGATCTATTAACCATGTCGCCTCTGATTTCTTTTTCAAAAACTGTGATAAGATCCTCTGATGTGTCAGCTAACTGTTGGCTAACTATAGCCTAGCCGGCTAGGCTACTCTTAAGTTAGCATCAGAGTTGGCATTAGAGTAAAGGGCTATTTTCACTTTTTTTTTCTTACTTTGAACTACGTTATACAGGTTTCTGATTATAAGATACATTATCTACATAGTTTAAAGCTTGATTGGATCATTATATCCTAAAGAAATATTAAGAATATTTATGTATTTTTTATAAATGAAATGCTATTCTGGGTTTAATTCTTGTCATCTTACTTTAAACTACTGATAATATTTATTAGTCAGTGTTGGATCCATGAAGCCTCTTAGTTAATGCATCTGTTTCTGTTTATTTTATACCAAAGGCAAGGTGCAATGCTTTTTTTGATGGGTTATGCATTGCAACTAATTCATTTTGGATTTAGATTTAAATTATTGTATTTAGTTCAATATTTGATTAGGATATTTTCTGTTTATCAAATAGTCTTTAAAACACAGTTTGTGTATTATGCAAGTGGGACTTGCATAATACATAAAAATGCATACAAATGGCTTGATCTGTGATTATAATGGGTTTAGAATAAAAAATATATTCTAAGTCATTTTAATAACTGCTCAGATAAAGCTAAACCTGCCCTGAATTATTTTCATGCATTTTCTTCCCCAACATGTTCAGAAATGGTATTAAACTGTGGTTTTAATGGATCTGCAATCAGTGTAAAATTGCCCAATTCAGCTTGTCTCAGTAGTTGAATTTTTTAGTCGTATCTTAAATTAGTTATTCTAATGAAAGGGAGGGCATCTTTCTCATTTTTTTGGTAAAAATATTAAAAGTTTCACATATTATAAACTGTTTTTAGAAAAGATGTGTTGCATGATTGTGAGTTGAATAGATTTTAAACTATTTCTGAGTAAATTTAGTTCTTATATTAAACAGATACCGACTTCACCTTTTAGGTATTAATATGTGCTTACCTGCATCTCTATCAGCTTAGTGGAAACAACTGTGATTCATTGGGGGAACTTCTAACCATGTAGTCCTCATTTAAAACACCTTCATATATCTAACCAATTAGTATGTTGATTTCCTACCTTTGCCAGAACATAAGGTTCATAGTGATGTAAAGCAGCACTAGTTAGATCTAATCTATTTATCCCTTTAAAACATTCTGACCCAGAATTTATTTCTGCTTCTCTGGTATTTGTCCCAGTTACTAATCTCTCTGTGCTGCAGGCGTTTCAACCAAAGAGAAGCTGTTTTATTTTTAATGACTGGGCCGTTGCCTTAAACTCTTGAATCTGTCAAGCTTTTGTTTTTCTGGCCCTTGAAAGAAAAATGCACGGGTCAGATTTCACAGGCACAAATAATTGCCTCCAACCATTTTTCAAGTGTGAGAACAACTAAGGGGATAATTATTTTACAGCTTCTCTCCTTCGAGTTATTTCCCTTTTAATTTCTAAATACTTGAGTAAGGAGCTGTTTTTCCACCATCTTCACCAATCTGAATTCACCATTTAATTCCTTAAGATTCAACATAGGGAAAGATATTAAACAATAACAACAAAAGATGTATTTGATCTAGGGCAGTATTCAATCAGTGGTTTTAGTAATTAATTTATCTATTAATGATGAAAGATACTTGTTGGTAAAAAACATTCAGAATATAGACAAATAACCTATTGCAAATTTTAAATGAATTTTAATCTGCAAAATATGTAACCGAAGAAAGGATTTAAAAATTGTAACAATATTTCCATCTGCATATGTAGGAATTTGCTGTGCACCAACTTCAGCCTCAGTTCATACCTTGTGAGACTTCTCTAAATTCTTGAATTGGCTTTTCTTGACAATTTTTATGCCTTCATCCCTGCTGCTACTTCACATTGTCCTACCACATTTTTTCCTTTCACTCAACCATCTATAGTCTGTTTCCTACTGAAGGTAAACTCTGGTTTTTCCAACATGGGTCAACCCGCTAACAATCGCCATTGCTCTTGTATCTGTCCGAGTTCCTCTTCCCAGCGCTGCACCATGTTTATAGAATTTAAACAGGATTGTTTGGTCTTGTTTGATCAGACACAACTGGCGCTGTGTGTTGACGTCTGCATGTTGCACTTAATGGTATCACGTAAATTAGCGGGTGAACTTGGGTGTGGTTTTTCCACAGCATATCGATTGGAGGCCGAGGGGATTTTAACATTTCTCAGTTGCCAACTGGTTAGACAAGGAGCAGTGAGCCCTTTCTACTAAAAGCTGATTGTTCCAGGGTTTAAATGGGTTTTTCGGCCAGTGGGAAAGGGGTATAGGAATACGCGTGGATGCAGCTCTATTTAAAACCACAGGTTCTTTAGCCATGACCTTGTGTGGCTTACCTTCCATGTAGAGGGTGTTATTGACTTTCTTCTGGACATATGTCTAGTTAGGGTCTTCCCTATGATTGTGCAGGTCACTCGCACAGACTGAGGGACTATTTTACCTATGCCCTTCTAGATGTTTTATCCTTTAATATCACAGGTTATAATTATCTTGGTTCTGAAAATTCTGACCACCTAGAGCAAGAAACTGGCAATTTAATGATACATTTAGTCCATAGAATGAGTTGATGTGCTGTTTATGGTTAATTAGACTTATAAAATAGACCATTTTGACTGCATTTTAAGCAAAGCGAAAATCTATTTTTTTTTTCCTCCACCACGCAGGTTATGTTTTCAGTCGAGTTGGTGCATCTGTTTGTTTTTCTGTCCGTCTCGGTACAAGATAACTTAAAAAGTTATAAACAGATTTTAGTTAGATTTATACCAATGGTGCACCTTAGCCCAAGGTAAGCCCAGGAATTTAAAAAAGATTCCTTAACAGTATCTGGAGGAACAGGCAGTCTCCCCCCCCCCCCCCCCCCCCCCCCCCCCCCCCATAATAATAATTCTGGACTCAAAAAGTCCAGAATTATTATACTGAAGACAAAATACACATAAAAAGTGAGCCATGCCTCGCTCAAAGTCTCAATCAGCTGATTAAACAAGAAAGCAGAGTGAATGAAGAAGGTGAGAGCAGAACAAACACCAGAGGCTGCAGACACACGCTCTGCCTTATTTATAAACTTATGCAAGGGTTTTAAAAGAAATTGTTAGCAAAGATGTCCCTCATACCAAGGAACAATTAATTAAAATTTGGTATTGACCCAGATTAAATTCAAGTCTTAGCTCAAGGTGTAAGTCACAATATGGGGGAAAATTTGCTGTTTGGCAGAGGCCTGCGCTTTACGAGTTATTTTCTAGTTTGTTTATATTATTAATGGAGAAAAGAAAATATTTTGAAGTAGGACAAATTGCCCAGTTTTTATTGTTTGACACTCAGCAGACTATCAGCTGAGCTGCCGACACACCCGCTTATGTTTCCGTGACATCACAGATAAAATAATGACCAACAGTAGATTATTAATAAGATGACATTAGAGCTAAGATTAAGCTCTAGCTTTGTGCAGTTATCTCAGCAACAAGTGTTTGAAAGCTCACCTGTCCAGCTTAATGGATGAGATATGAAACAAGAAATGGAGAATGCCCCCATAGAACCCCATGATATCCATTGATCAATAAAACGGCTAAAATGAAATCCTTTTGTTTTTTATTTAAATGATCCAAATAGATAAGAATTTATTTTAAGTAAAACTTTAAATATGTCCATGCAGATGGATTTTATTAATTGTGTTTAACTACTGCAGTCACAAGCGGCGCTGTAACCATATTGCACCATTTAGGACACATTTAGGTTCCAGATAATATTTTAGCCTATGATTGTTCACGACTAGTGCAGTCTCGATTCATAACAAAGAAAGAACAACTAGTAGAATAGCTCTTAAGTTTAGCATCAATATTTAATTTGAAAGCTAATTTTGTCCTCATGTCCACAAAGTTAACATTAATGTTGAGATTATATTTTTTTGCTTTCAGTACTTGCTTAAAAGTTTACCAAACTGTCCTCTGGGGTTCACATATTTCTCTCCAATTGCAGTTTGTTTTTCTTCTGATGACCCGAAATGCTGCCAAATAACCGATTAGAAAGAGCCAGAGACTTCTGCTATGCTAATACTGCCAAACAAAGTCAAGCTGGTTGCAGATGGACAGTTGGTTTGTGAGATTGGCTTCTCGTGATGTTTTGATAAACTGACATCTCCTTACCCTGCCTTCATTGAAATGTCCCTATTATTTTATTTTAGACTTTGTTTAGATTTTTAAAGACTAATTGGAAAGGAAACAAAGTAGTCTTTTGCAGCTGTAGAGTCTAC